ATAATGGGCATTATCCCTATAGCTTATGATCCAACACAATGATCCAATCCTTCTTCTAAGATTGACAATGTGACTTAATCTAGCACACAAACCACTACACCCCATTGGCTCTTATCAAGCATAACACCTTTCAGGTACTGGCAGCAAAGAAAAAGGTATTTCACTTGCTCCTTCAAAAAATTTTCCCACCTCAAATCTGGCACTTAAATTTGCCACAGCCTTTTGGTGACATGAAAGCAGTCATGATACACTTTTAAGTATTTTTTAAAATCAAAATTAGATCATGAATCTGCTTTGCCTATTGTTGGTTTCTGTTGGGATCTTGCTAAGCTAAAACACTAAATTTCTCTTACTGTTCTCTTTGAGCAGCTCTTATTTTTGGCCTGGTAAACATCCAGTTGCCCAAACTAGCACCCAAATTAAACAAGAGGAAATGGCTTCAGTGCGAGATTTAAAATCACAGGCCTGTGGTCATACTATATTCAGCCCTGGGGATTTCCAGGTAGGCATCCATGGATTCACCCACTGAACCAGTCTGTACCCGTACCAAATGGTACACGGTGTAACATGCGCAAACTTGTTCAGCCAGTAAGGGTACCTTTTTGTCTGTATTTACATCTCAGCTGAGATAGTGCCTTGAAAGTATCTCCTCCCTTCGAGAGATAAATTACCCTATATACTCATGTATAAGTCTAGACAATTTAATAATTAAAAAGCAGCCCTAACAACCTGGGTCAACTTATTTACAGGTCAATGTAAGTACTGTACAATAAATCTAATTAAAAAAGGAACCATCCTTTTCTCTAAGTAGAGTGTCAAATGTCAAGAACTTAGTCCATCTCAGGAGAACCTAAAACAAAATGCCAAGTTTCTCTATTTTCAATGCCACGGTGCCACTTCTGGCCTTTTTGAATGCCTGCATGGGAAAAGGGTAGTGGTTCCCAGGGGCAGTTGGTCTTCTGAGATCAGGCTGGTGTTTTCTTTTCACGCAAATGACCTTCAATGTCACCATTAAATTTCAGAATCCATAATTTTTGGCCCCAAAACCCACCCTCAACATATATAAGAGGTCTACTAATACATGAGTACAGGCAGCCCCCAGATTACGAGCAAGATTGGCTCTGTAGGTATGTTAAGTTGAATTTGTATGTAAGTCGGAACAGGTACATCTTTTAAGTATAACTCTGTAGTTTGATGTATAAATGGCATGTATAAGGAGGGGAGGGTGGGAGTGGGAAAAAACCAATAAAACAATCTTTTAAGTATAACTCAAGCCATATATATATATATATATACACACACACACACACACACACACACGTATATATATATATATACACACACACAGAGAGAGAGAGAGAGAGCTTTGGATAGCATAGGGAAGGATTAACTCCCCTGTGGTGTTTGTTTTGCTGTCTGTGTCCCTATTTTAGAAGATTTCGCCGAGCATTCTGTCCTTGTGATAATTGGATCTGGAAACAAAGATTGGTGATAAAGCTTCAGTGGAGACACCTTTTGTTGGATAGAAGCCTTCTCAAGCCTCCTCTATTTAATGTTTTGTCTGCTTATAATGTGTTGTTTCATTTCCTGAAGTGTATGCCTTCTTTGGTTTGCAGTTTCCTTAACTCTACATACTTGAGGCAGTGGAAGGGGCTGCAGGTCATGTGACTGTTTAGAATGCATTTTAAACATGATGACAGTTGAGGAATGACAGGACGCGGAACAATGGCTTCAAACTACAAGAGAGGAGATTCCATCTGAACATGAGGAAGAACTTCCTGACTGTGAGAGCCGTTCAGCAGTGGAACTCTCTGCCCCGGAGTGTGGTGGAGGCTCCTTCTTTGGAAGCTTTCAAACAGAGGCTGGATGGCCATCTGTCAGGGGTGATTTGAATGCAATATTCCTGCTTCTTGGCAGGGGGTTGGACTGGATGGCCCATGAGGTCTCTTCCAACTCTTTGATTCTTTGGTTCTATGATTCTAAGACAGTTAAGACTTGGGTCAGTTAGAATACAGAAGTCAGTGTTAGAAGTTAGAAAGCTGTTGATGCTTGAGGTTTTTTTTTTAAGTAGACTCTTATGAAAATACAGAGCAATATAGTTTTTAAAGAGACTGTTAAAGACTGTAAGTTAAAGATACAAACTGAAATGGTTTAAAGTTTAACCTGACGAGAAATGTGCCTATATATTTCAATACATGAAGTTATGAAGAAAAACAAACATGTTATTTTAAAAGAAGTCTGCTTGAATGTCTGCTGAGAGCATTGAACAGAAACAAGATATTTACAAAACCAGCAATCATCCATTACTCAATAAACTAAAGGAATACCTCCATAACTCTGCTACCCTGTGGGTTGTGATCCTAACAGATCATAATCCATAATCACCAATAGGTTGTGATCATAACAGGTCATCATCCTTATCCCAATACCCTTTTCCCATGAAAATTTTTTCAGAAGTGAATTTCCCTTCCTAGGAGTAGACTTCTCTCACTTCCTATTGTCTCACCCCTGTTCTTAACTATGAGCTGTTGGTAAGTCAGATGTCTGTAACTTGAGGACTGCCTTTATATATGGTATCTTTGGGACATTTGAAACAATATGAACAAGATACGACATGCCGATCAGTATTCTGAAGATGAGCTATATTCATGAACGACATTGAAATATATAGTACCCTCCCATATCTATGGATGATACATTCCCAAACGTTGCATGGAAATGAGAAACTGTGGATAATTGTGAACCTTATTAAAATGAAGGACAGCTTGTCCAAGAATTTTATAAGATAGCATTGGAGGGCCCATACAATGAATCGAGAGGTCATATTGTGTCACATATGGATTTATGTCCTACATAATACAGTATTTAGATCCATCAGCTAAGAGTTGGAGGCAGAAGAATGAGAAAAAGGGAAGACGGAACTGACTGTGATGTTATTATTACACAGGAATCGAGGATATCTCTCAAAAAGGTTTGGGGTTATTAATTTAAGGATTAGATTAGTTTTGACTTTGAGTCTTAGCTGATTAATCTAAACACAGTATGAGCCCCAGGTAATGATGGTTTGCAACTCCCATCGGCTCTATCCAATACAGCCAAGAGATGATGGAAAGTGCAGTTCAACAATATCTAGAGAGGCATACTGTATATTCCCCATCCCTGTAGTACAAGTATTCTCTATCCAAACATACAGGTTAATACCTATCTCTAGCGAAGGTTCAGCTTCTTCTCCCAGGATGCAGATCAGCTCTTGTGGCGGTTCTACAGGTCTGCTCCATTCTACCGTCTTCTGAGAGTGGCATCCAGGAGGGGTCTGAGGGCCAGAGACATCCCACAAAGCAGCAGGCAGCACTATTTTCTCCTCACCATCCCCTGAGGTCTCCTCCTCCGTCTTCATATGAACAGCAACCTGACAAAAGCAAAGCATAAGCTGTCAGTGCTGAAGCTGCCTACAGAATGAGAGTGGTCAACATCCAGGAAAGGTATGTTTGTGCACTACAGCTCCCAGAATCTCCTATTTGTTATTGTCAGTTCAGAGGTTAAGACGGCAACAAACAATTTTGCGAAGAGGGACTGTCACAGTCCTCCAGATATTGTTACTTTATTTATGTCCCACTTTTATACACAGAGATAGTATATAGACCGCATTAATTCAGTAGTGTAAACATGCCCCTTGAAAGTTGTGTGTAAACATGCTAAAAAGGTCCTTATTCCAGGAGAAGCATTTCTAAAACAATTTAAAATAAAGGGAAAGCAGAAGACAATGCCCAGCTCTAGCAGGTCAAGCCATGATTAGTGGACTCATAAAAGCTTCAGTTTTAACTAGAGTACTCAGCTTCAGTGCCACTCAGGCTTCCATCCAACAACCAAGCTGCCATAGTTGAGAAAGGCTTGGATTGAAGCTGGCAAAGATGGCAAGGACTAGGGGTGCATCTGCACTGTAGAGTTAATGCAGTTTGACACCACTTGGCTCAATGCTACAAAGTCATCAGAGTTGAAATTGTACATCATCATTAGACTTCTCCCCACAAAAGTGCAGGGTTTAGCACCAAACTACAACACATAGGGTTCCATAACATTGAGTCATGATAGTTAAAGTGATTTCAAAGTAGATTAACTCTATAGGATGGATGCACCCCAGGTTTCAGGATAGATGCTCGGAGGTACTCCAAATTGTATATTACTATATATACTTGAATATAAGCGGAGTTTTTCAGCCCTTTTTTAGGCTTAAAACTCCTCCCTCGGCTTATACTTGAATTAATGTTATTTATTATTTTACTGTTTTATTATTATTTATATTACATTTATGATTTTACTCTATTACTACTATTACATATATTATTTTACTGTATTGATTATTGTTATTAATACATTTATTATTTTACTCTATTTAATATTACTATCACATTTCCATCATATTACTTTATTATTATTATTATTATTATTATTATTACATTATTTTACTGTCTTTATTATTATTGGAAGGATACATAAGCACATTTACATTGAGGAAGGTTAGAATAATGGTTTATTCAGCGTTGGACACTCTTATCTTAAAGTTTTATGTAAATATTCAAAAACACTGAACCTACTGTTGTCTCTATTAATGTAATTTTATTGGTATCTATTTTTATTTTGAAATTTACCAATAGCTGCTTCATTTCCCACCCTCGGCTTATACTCGAATCAATACATTTTCCCAGTTTTTGTGGTAAAATTAGGTGCCTCGGCTTATATTCAGGTCAGCTAATACTTGAGTATATACGGTAATTAACAGATACTCACATGTGCATCCAATCTTTCGGATTCATGTTGCTTCTGAACAAACTCCTCTGCCAGGGCCACAGCCTGGGCACAAGTCTCTGGGTGACATTCCCAAACCCAGCTCTGCATCTCCTCTGGCAAGATGGTCAGGAACTGTTCCAGGATCAGCAGCTCCAAGATATGGTCCTTGGTGTGGATCTCTGGCTTTAGCCACTGACGGCAAAGTTCCCGCAAGTTCCCGCAAGCCTGTCGGGGACCCTCAGCCTCCTGAAAGCAAAAGCGCCGGAAACGCTGCCGCCGGGTCTCGCTCCCAAAGGCGCAGTGACACAAGATAGCAGTTTTGACTTTGCCATAGTCCTCTCTGTCTGTAATACTGAGGTTGATGTAGGCTTGCTGGGCTACCCCACTAAGAGCGGGCACCAATCGGGCGACCCACTGTTCCTGGGGCCATTGGCACGCGTTGGCTACCCGCTCAAAAGTGGACAAATAGATTTCGACATCATCCGCTGATGTGAGCTGAGGAACTTGGAGATTGCCCCAAGCGGGAGAGGATGCTGAAGTAACTTCTGGCGTACTAGTCTCCTGCCATTGAACTTCCCAGCGCTGTGATGTCTCCTGGCCTTCATAGCTGCCCTGCTGTGATACTACACACCTCACAAGCTCCCCAGACGGGATGAAAAAAGGAGATCTAGTTACATATTTCAAATCCAAATTTTCTGGATCCAGTTCCTCAATTTTCACCACCGACTGCAGACCCTGTTTGGCCAGAATATCATTCTGCAGTTCTGAGATGGTCGCTGTCATTCTCTTTATTCCAGTTCTAGAATGAGATTTCAAACCCAGATCCACGGTTTCAAAGCAGTGTACGTCGTAGATGCCGGATCACCCTTAGAGAGATCAAATCCAAGATTTCAACTCCTTATACATGGACAGCAGGTAGACAGCAACTACCTGCTGGAAATCCAATGAGATTTTCCTGCCAAAGGGGAAAAAAGAGAAATATAATTTACTAGCCATCCCCTGCCATGCGTTGCTGTGGCCCAATCTGTGTATATGTGTTTCGTGAGTGTGTGTGTATATATTTGTGTATATGTGTGTTTCCATGTGTGTGTGTGTGTGTGTGGTTTTGTGCATGCATTGTTATGTAATTTTTGTTTTTTGGCTTTTTAAGTCCCTTCTGTTGTGTTTTTCAGTGTATGGTCACTCGTTGACCTGATAGGTGTATTGTGTCCAAATTTGGTGTTAATTCGCCCAGTGGTTTTTTGAATTATGTTAATCCCACAAACGAACATTACATTTTTATTTATATAGATGTATTATTCATTTATTTATTTACTATATTTATATCCGGCCCTTCTCAGCCCAATGGAAACTCAGAACAGCCTTACAATAGGCAACAATACAATGCCACATAAAACAGACATATAATAAAGTAAACATATAGATTACATCATAAAATTAAAAAGGATATAAACATTATAATACAAACAATCATTTGTGGAAATTGGAAACACTTGGAGGGCCAAAGTTTGCCCATGCCTGTTCTAGCATAAATGCAGTTTGGTACGACTTGAACTGCTATTGCTCGATGCTATGGAATCCTGAGATGCATACTGGGGAGGCTCCAGCACTCTTTGGCAGAGGAGCCTTGCAAAACTACAACTCCCAGGATCCCATAGCCTTGAGTCATGGCACTTACATTGCACCACTTTGAACTGCTATTGCTCAATGCTATGGTATCCTGAAATGTGTTATTTGGGGAGGCATCAGCATTCTATGGCAGAGGAGCCTTGCAAAACTACAACTCCCAGGATCCCATAGCCTTGAGCCATGGCACTTACATTGCACCGCTTTGAACTGCTATTGCTCAGTGCTATGGAATCCTTAGGTGTGTAGTTTGGCATCAGCACTCTTTGGCAAAGGAGCCTTGCAAAACTACAACTCCCAGAATCCCATAGCTTTGAGCCATGGCACTTAAATGGCACCACCTGAACTGCTATTGCTCAGTGCTATGGAATCCTGAGGTGTGTAGTTTGGCATCAGCACTCTTTGGCTGAGGAGCCTTGCAAAACTACAACTCCCAGGATCCCATAGCCTTGAGCCATGGCACTTACATTGCACCACTTTGAACTGCTATTGCTCAGTGCTATGGTATCCTGAAGTGTGTTATTTGGGGAGGCATCAGCATTCTATGGCAGAGGAGCCTTGCAAAACTACAACTCCCAGGATCCCATAGCCTTGAGCTTAAATGGCACCACTTGAACTGCTGTTTCTCAATGTTATGGAATCCTGAAATGTGAAATTTGGGGAGGCATCAGCACTCTTTGGCAGAGGAGCCTTGCAAAACTACAACTCCCAGGATCCCATAGCCTTGAGCCATGAAACTTAAATGGCACCACTTGAACTGCTATTGCTCAATGCTATGGAATCCTGAAATGTGTTATTTGGGAAGACACCGGAGCAGCCTTGTAAAACTACAATTCCCATGATCTCATAGCCTTGAGCCATGGCACTTCAAGTGGTGTCAAGTCAAACTGCATTCATTCTACATTGGAGATGCACCTCAAAACTCACCTTTGTCACTCCCCTTGGGCTCCCCAAATGCCTTAACTCCCCTTCCTACAGAAAATAATAATAAATAAACCCGTCGGCGCTAGGACCCGGAGGGCTTTGCCTACTTTAACCCTTTCCCTGCCAACTCAGCCTAAATCGAAGCCTGCCTATTTTCTTTTGCATGTCTTTTTTCTCTCTCAATGGATCAAGCAAGGCTAGGAACAATTTCCTTTTCAGCTTTGGGGAGGATTCAAAGGCATGCAAATCAATGCAAGCAATGGAGGAAAAGGGGAGGGAGAGAGGGGGGAAAAAGAAAGTGCCTCTGAGCATAAGCAGAGTACCTTTTTCAAGCGTCCGCTTGCCAAATCGCACAACCCATTTTGCACACATCTGGGATCACTTGGGGGAAGGACTTCCCGGGTCAGAGGGATGTGGTTTCCGGGCAGCTTTGAGCCCCGGCAAACACTCTTTTTCTATTTTTTCCCCTTCCTTCTCTCTATTTTAAAAAGATATTATTTGGGAAATTAAAGCTGGAGGAGAATTAAAGCAGCCGAGGCTCAAGTTGCATGCATTTGCAAGAGCAGTCAAGTGTGCCGCCTCCTGCAATCTGTATGCTTATTTTTGCAAGACCTGAACATTTTCCAACAGGGTTCCTTCCGCAAAGGTACAGTTGCCCCGCTCTGATTCCCTGGTTTTGATTTGGGGGTGTCTACATTGTGGAGTTAACGCAGTTTGACACCGCTTTAACTATCGCCAAGGCTCGACAGGACATCATGGAAGGTCTTGAGCCTTCTCTGCCAAAGAATGTTGGCGTCCCACCAAACTGCAAAACCCATCATTCTGTGTTGATGCTAATCTATATTAATTCTATAGTGTAGCAAAGGCATGGGCAAACTTCGGCCTTCCTCCAGGTGTTTTGGACTTCAACTCCCACAATTCCTACACCCACAATTCCAGAACACCTGGGGACCCATAGGTTGAGGACCTAGATGCATGCATAGCCTTGCCTGATGAAGAGTTTTGTGTAAATACACTGAAGAATTAATGCAGTTTGACACCACTTGAACAGCCATGCTTCTTTGCTATAGAATCTTGGGATTTGTAATCTGGAGAAGTACCAGTGCTCTTTGACAGAGAAGGCCTGATCCCTTGCAAAAATTATACACCTCTGGTTCAATACTGTTGGGCCGTGTCAGCTAAAGTGGGACTGCATCTACACTGTAGAATTAATGCAGTTTGACACCACTTGAACCGCCATGGCTCTTTGCTATAGAAGCTTGGGATTTGTAGTTTGGAGAAGTACCAATGCTGTTTGACAGAGAAGGCCTGAGACTTTGCAAAAATTATATTCCCCTGGTTCAAAAGCATTGGACCGTCGCAGCTAAAGAGGGACTGCATCTACACTGTAGAATTAATGCAGTTTGACACCACTTGAACCGCCATGGCTCTTTGCTATAGAAGCTTGGGATTTGTAGTCTGGAGAATACCAGTGCTCTGACAGAGAAGGCCCGAGGCCTTGCAAAAATTATACTCCCCTGGTTTAATAGCATTGGACCATGGCAGCTAAAGTGGAATCAAACTGCATTAATTCAGTAGTGTAAACATGCCACTTGAAAGTTGCATGTAAACATGGCCCTTGAAAGAGGGGAAGAGAGTAGTAGAGGGTTGTTGATTGACTTTTAATGAATATGAGGCAGGAATAGGATTGTTGAAGTCCAAAACACTTGGAGGAAAACCGAAGTTTGCCCATGCTTGTTAGGAATTGTGGGAGTTGAAGTCCAAAACACCTGGAGGAAGGCCAAAGTTTGCCCATGCTTGAGCTACACTGTAGAATTAATGCAGTTTGACTGCTATGATGCATTTCTATGGAGTCATGGGAGTTGTAGTTTGGTAAGATATCCGCACTCTACTGCAAAGAAAACTCCAGACCTTGTAAAACTGCAGCTCCCATGAGTCAAAAGTCACAAACCATGGAAGTTGAAGTGGTCTTAAACTGATTTAATTATATAGTATAGATCAGGCCTGGGCAAACTTTGGCCCTCTAGGTGTTTTGGACTTCAACTCCCACAATTCCTACTGTTAGTTACAGTTTGACACCACTTGAACAGCCATGGCTCTTTGCTATAGAATCTTGGGATTTGTAATCTGGAGAAGTACCAGTGCTCTTTGACAGAGAAGGCCCAAGACCTTGCAAAAATTATACTCCTCTGGTTCAATAGCGTTGGGCCGTGTCAGCTAAAGTGGGACTGCATCTACACTGTAGAATTAATGCAGTTTGACACCACTTGAACAGCCATGGCTCTTTGCTATAGAATCTTGGGATTTGTAGTTTGGAGAAGTACCAGTGCTGTTTGACAGAGAAGGCCTGAGACTTTGCAAAAATTATATTCCCCTGGTTCAAAAGCATTGGACCGTGGCAGCTAAAGAGGGACTGCATCTACACTGTAGAATTAATGCAGTTGGACACCACTTGAACCGCCATGGCTCTTTGCTATAGAAGCTTGGGATTTGTAGTCTGGAGAGTAGCAGTGCTCTGACAGAGAAGGCCCGAGGCCTTGCAAAAATTATACTCCCCTGGTTTAATAGCATTGGACCATGGCAGCTAAAGTGGAATCAAACTGCATTAATTCAGTAGTGTAAACATGCGACTTGAAAGTTGCATGTAAATATGGCCCTTGAAAGTTGCATGTTAACATACAAAAAGGGTTCTTATTCCAGGAGAAAAAGGAAATATTGTAGAGGGAAGGGAGTAGTAGAGGATGTTGATTGACTTCTAATGAATATGAGGCAGGCATAGGATTGTTGAAGTCCAAAACACTTGGAGGAAAGCCGAAGTTTACCCATGCTTGTTAGGAATTGTGGGAGTTGAAGTCCAAAACACCAGGAGGAAGGCCAAAGTTTGCCCATGCTTGAGCTACACTGTAGAATTAATGCAGTTTGACTGCTATGATGCATTTCTATGGAGTCATGGGAGTTGTAGTTTGGTAAGATATCCACACTCTACTGCAAAGAAAACTCCAGACCTTGTAAAACTCCAGCTCCCATGAGTCAATAGTTATGTACCATGGAAGTTGAAGTGGTCTTAAACTGATTTAATTATTAATTATTTAATTATATACGTCAGCCCTCAAGGTGTTTTGGACTACACCTCCCACAATTCCTACTGTTGGGAATTGTGGGAGTTGAAGACCAAAACACCTGGGGGGCCAAAGTTTTCACACTTAGGCATGCCTGAGTAGATGCATACTTAGGCATGCCTGATGAAGAGTTCTGTGTAACTGGGACTGCATCTACACTGTAGAATTAATGCAGTTTGATACCACTTGAACCACCATTGCTCTTTGCTATGGAGTCTTGGGATGTGTAACTCTGGAGCGGTACCAGCGCTCTTTGTCAGAGCAGGTAAAACTACATTCCCCTGGTTCAGTAGCATTGGACCATGGCAGCTAAAGTGGGATCAAACTGCATTAATTCCGTAGTGTAAACATGCCCCTTGAAAGCTGCATGTAAACATGTCCCTTGAAAGATGTGTGTAAATATGCCCCTTTAAAATTGCATGTAAACATACGAAAAAGTCCTTCTTCCATGAGAAAAAGGCAATATTGTAGAGGGGGAGGGAGTAGTAGAGGATGTTAATGACTTCTAATGAATATGAGGCAGAATAGGAGTGTGTTTGTATTGTTGTGCTTCTAAGACACGTTTTGTGCCGTCAAGGGTATGTCTACATTGCAGAATTAGTGCAGTTTGACACCACTTTAACTGCCATTGGTCAAATACTATGAAATTCAGAGAGACATCAGCACTCTGGCAAAGAGGGCCAAAGACCTTGTAGAACTACAACTCCCATGATACCATAACATTGAGCCAAAATAGTTCAAGTGTTGTCAAACTACATTAATTCTGCAGTGTAGGTGTTCCCTTAACAATGTATTGTCGAAGGCTTTCATGGCCGGAATCACTGGTTTGCTGTGAGTTCTCCGAGCTGTATGGCCATGTTCCAGAAGCATTCTCTCCTGACGTTTCGCCTGCATCTATGCAGGCATCGTCAGAGGTTGTGGCGTCTATTGGAAACTAGGCAAGTGGGGTTTATACATCTGTGGAATGTACAGGGTGGGAGAAAGAACTCTTGTCTGTTTGAGGCAAGTGTGAATGCTGCAATTGATCACTCACCGTGATTGTATTGAATAGCCTTGCAGATTCAAGTCTTGGTTCCTTGAAGTCTTGGGAGGTGATTAGCTGGCCCAGATGGATTCTTGTCTGGAATTCCCGTGGTTTTATGAGTGTTGCTCTTTGTTTACTGTTATGATTTTAGAGTCTTTTAATACTGATAGCCAGATTTTGTTCATTTTCATGGTTTCCTCCTTTTTGTTGAAATTGTCCACATGCTTGTGGATTTCAATGGCTTCCCTGTGTAGTCTGCCAGTCTTTGAAGCTGCAAGGCCATTAAATACTAATCAAGGCCGTCAATCGCAACAGTCACACTTTAAACAGTTGGCAAGGCAAACAATTGCTATAGCTTTCCGCCCATTTGCATCTTTCTTTAACTGAGGTCAAGCCACTTGGCCTGTGCCTGTTAAAGACACAGAATTGTGGTATTCGTAATGTTCTGTGCATTTTTAATTACTTCATGAAGTTTTTGAAAAAATAAAAGATATGCTTACTACTTTTTTATAAAGTTTGGAAAAATATCAACCCTAGTACAGCCTGGCTCTACAGAAAGTAAGGACAATGCAAACCAATGATACACATTTTTGGATAGATAGGAAGAGAAAGGAGGCAAGCTTTTCAGACTAGTTGTTGACTCCCATTTTGGGAGAAGCCAATGTTTTGTCCTGGGCTGAGGTTATTGTTTGCCTGAACATGGAATTGCATACTTTCTAACAGCTGTTCTATGGTATGTGGGAAATGCAGTATTGCTGGAGACAACATGGGTGCATAGAGGCCTATTCAGTTGCATTATTCCGAGCATGGGAAAGGTAGAACGTCAGTTTCCCAAACTTTTCCAAAAAATGAAGTAGGATTTTATCCTTCTGAAATTTATTTTACAAGTAAGAGAATTCTTTGGTGGACTTGGAAGCATGCAAATTTGCACATGCTAAGGCAGTTCTGCATTTCCTGGCGTGCATCTCCACTGTAAAATTAATTCAGTTTCACACGACTTTAACTGCCATGGCTCAATGCTACATCATCCTTGGATTTTTAGTTTGGTGAAATGCTAGTACTCTCCAGCAGATTTTGCAAAACGGCAGCTCCCATTAATTCCGCAGCATTCACGGGCCTCCATTGTCAAGTTTAGTTTGGCCCTACGGGCTTCATCTCTAATTGCAACAACATATTTCTTGTTGCTATTATATTTAATTGTAAGGGGAAGCCAACAATTAAAGAATGGGAGGAGTTGCATGTGTCATAACAATCCAAGAACGATGTCTATATTATCCAGAAGTAAAGCCTTTAGTGTGTGTATTGTCAGAAATGAGTTACACCAACACCCATATCAGAACTTTCATAGACATCAGTGATGGATGCAGTGGGTAAAAACTGCATCGGGCGACACCATCAGAGAGTGTAACACCAAAGAGATGGTCTATAAAAAAATTGTGCAGTGTTTCAGCAGAATTTTTCTCATATGTGAAAATATCCCTGTTGTTAGCCCCAGCGTCTACCAACCTAGCAGTTTGAAAACATGTAAATGTGAGTAGATCAATAGGTCTACTCCAGCGGGAAGGTAATGGCGCTCTATGCAGTCATGCCGGCCACATGACCTCTATGGACAATGCCAGCTCTTCGGCTTAGAAATGGAAATGAGCACCAACCCCCAGAGTTGGACACTACTGGACTTAATGTCAGGGGAAAACCTTTACCTTTATCTAATTAGATTTATTTATTTGTTTACAGTATTTATATTCCGCCCTTCTCACCCCGCAGGGGACTCAGTGCGGAATACAATGTACACATACATGGCAAACATTCAATGGCATAGACACACAACATATATAAACAGACACACAGAGGCTATTTAACATTCCAGCTTTTCATGAGGGTATTCTGGCCACCAGGGGAGCTGTTGCTTCACCATCCATTTGTGACACTGATTAAGTACTTCCTCATTCTTTGCATACTTGCTGGAGATTTTTATGGCCTCGTAGTTAAATTAGCCTCCCTGCATAAGCGGTACCTAAATTTCCTACTTGACAGATATAACCACAAAACAGTTCTCGTAAACCTATCTTGCAGATACAATATGTCTAAACTCTAAACTTCCATGTTAATTTGCTTTTTGAATCTTCTAGTGCTCATGCGCTCCAGTTACAGATGTTGCTACGAGGGTTATTCAGAAATTAAGGTTACAAAATAAAATAAAAAACACAAAGAATGAGTATATTTTAATAAAAGTCACATGGATTGTAGCATAGGTATTACATTATTTTTCTACATAATCACAATTCAGTTCAATACATTTTGTCATCCATCTATGTCATAGAAGTTTCCCTCCGCCTTTTTCAGCCAGTTCGTCACTTCGATTTTCACCTTGTCGTCATTGGAAAAGTGCTTTCCACAATGCATTCCTTCAATTTAGTGAACAGATGATAGTCACTTGTGCTGCTCATGCAACACAACTCTTGTGTTGCATGAGCAGTGTGCAGCTGCGTATTGTTGTGAAGGAGACGGACTCCCGCTGTCAGCACCCCACAACGTTTGTTTTGGGTGGTTCTGTGAAGGTTCTTCATGATCTCACAATATATTCCATTTTGTCACATGCTGTCTTGACATTACGTCCTCTCCATAAACTGAAATAATTTCGCAATGAATTGCAGCAGCGCTCAACCTTAACCTTTAGGTAGCGTATTACAGCACAAACTTTGTTCTTGGAGGGAAACAGAATGAGGACGCTCTTCTCTAACCTTTACCATAACTCAAGTTGATGAGCTACTGACAACCAGCACTGCTCGTTAGCTTCTGCTGGCTTCTTGCTATACGGCAATGATACCAACTTCCCCCGAGAAAATTCCCCACGAGAGCAACATGCCGTGTAACCTGACTTTCTGAATAACCCTCGTATTACGCAGTTTTTAATCACATTTTTCAAAATGTGTTCTCTTTTTTAAAAAATTACTGTTGGTGGGGGTTGCTGTGGATTTTACCATTTTTTTAGTATTTTAATTACAATATTGTAGTTTGGTCTGGTCTAGTATGGGAAGAGGCCCATAGGGATGACACCATAGATGGCACTAACCCTAGTATCTCAACTTTTCTTCATTGAGCTCAAGGTGGAATATACGGTGCTCACTTTTATTTTTGCAACAGTCTTGTATTACCCAAGTCTCATTGCAGTACTTTAATCTATTGTGTTATTTATTACGTCTCCAGCTTTCCAACTGGACCAGTTGAGGATTTTGCCTACCTGATTGGAAACTATTTAAAAAAATTCTACATAAGCACACACAAAACCCAACTTGAGAATGAGGCGGAAAATGACAGCCAAGCGGAATATGGTGGCCCAGTACCTCCAGTGTCCGGCTCCACCGGAGCAGCGAACACAACCCCTGGTAAAAGTTGAGAAAGAACCAGACCCACCCGGTTCCGATTCAGTGGGAGTATTGGAAGGCTCTGTCAAAACCTACCGCATTGTGCCGGTTGCAAGTACTGGAGGCGGTTTAAAACTGGTGACACCTCAACAGACTCGGAGTGAACGACTGGAGACGTCCCAGCGCTGGGAAATCCAGGGCCAGGAGTTACCAACTCCGGACCTGACACCTGTGCAATCACCCGCCTGGCGTAACCTACAGGTGCCCGAGCTAACGCTGACAGAAGATATCGAGACCTACTTGGCTACCTTTGAGGATGTTGCAGAGGCTTGCAAGTGGCCCAGGGAGCAATGGGTGACCCGGCTCGTGCCCGCCCTCAATGGAACTGCGCTCCATGCCTACAATAGCTTGGATCCAAGAGAAAGTGGGGACTATACAAAGGTCAAGGCAGCTATCTTGAGAGAAGACGCAGTCAGCCAGGAAAGACAGCGCCAGAACTTCCGTCACTTCCGCTATCAAGAGGCTGAAGGGCCCCGTGAGGCGTGTGCCCGGCTTCGGGGGCTCTGCCATCGCTGGTTGGAGCCGGAGAGCCGCACCAAAGAACAGATTGTGGAGCTCTTGGTCCTTGAACAGTTCTTGACCATCCTGCCAGAGGAAATGCAGGACTGGGTTCAGGAGTATCGCCCAAAGACCTGTATCCAGGCAGTGACCCTGGCAGAGCATTTCCTGCTGAAACAGCAAGAGGGAGAAAGGTGGGATCAGCAGGTGAGACCACTTTAGCAGGAGACCTGGAAGTCTACCTGCAGGGCTGTGATCATACTGTACTAGGTTCTGTATTAGATCTTAGAGCAGTGGTTCTCAGCTTGTGAGTCCCCAGGTATTTTGGCCTACAACTCCCAGAAATCCCAGCCAATTTACCAGCTGTTAGGATTTCTGGAAGTTGAAGGCCAAAACATCTCAGGTTGAGAACCACTGTTAGAGGTATGATCTAATCTAGAATCTAGCACTTTGCAATCATTGTGGATTGAGTTATCCCTTATCTGAAAGGCTTGGAAATAGAAGTGTTTGGTATTTTGGAAGATTTGCATGGATGGTCCTTTATTCTAACGTCTTTGACCATCCCTGTATTATCTCTCCTAGATTGTTATTTCTAGGTTCCACAAACTGATTTTTTTCAAAGGTAATCTGCCTGTATAATTACTATTGTCATTGTTATCGCTATTATTTTGATGGGGCCCATGCTGCTGTTTCAGGTGTTGGGGCCATTTGTCTTTGAGGAAGCTGTGAATTTCTCAGAAACTGAGCAAGTGCCAATGGACACCAGACAGATGGTAATCTGCAGAGATGCCAAGGAAGAACTTCACGAGAACCACTCTTCTCTAGGTAAACGAGTATTTGTGGTACTTGTGCTACGCGTGTAGAGGAAATAGTGCAGTCGATCCTCCACATTAGTGAGTTTAACTTAATACAATCTTTCTAGAAATTCTAATCCCTTGAGTTCACTTCTATGGTCAATTTCACCTAGAGATTCTTAGAGAGCTATCTCCCTAGTTTTTTAATGACACTTTTTATTCATGGTTTTCCCATTTTTATGGTGGCCCTGGATAACCCTAGCAGATGCGGAGATCTGACTGTATACACAGAGTAGCATGTGGATGTGAGCTTCTTACAGAAATTGAACCACATGTTCAGCAGCAAAAGACATAACAATGCTTCTAGACACATGTCAGAATACAAGAGGAATGCTTCATCTCTCCATATTGTACATGTAGAAAATTTGTCAAACAGTTCGATAAATTTTTAAGACTTGGAAATTATTCTTATTGTTTTAAATTATTTAAAACTATTCAGATTGGATCAGTTGGAAAAGGGCAGGGGATATAGATAGATAGATAGACAGACAGACAGGCTTCCATAACAACAACAACAACAACACATTTCTAAACACTTGGGAAGTGTTTGTCTTGTGATTTTGTGATACAAAATCCAGCATATATATCTTGTTTGCTGTGACATACTGTGTTTTTGTGACAGTAAAATAATAATAATAATAATAATAATAATAATAATAATAATAATAATTTATTACCCTTCTCTCATGGTTTGAAGTGGGGTATAACACWGTTAAAACACCCAGATAATACAGGCAGTCCCCGAGTTACAAACATCCAACTTACAAACTACTCATAGTTAAGAACAGGGGTGAGACAACAGGAAGTGAAAGAAATCTACACCTCAGAAGGGAAATCCATTCCTGAAAGAGTTATCCTGGGGGGAAAGGTGAATCCACTGAAGTTTTATYACCAGTTGTTTCCATAACAAGCCAAATATTTTCAAAATCCAATTAYTATAGGGAGAGAAAGAGAGGTGAAATCTTCTGAACAGGGGCACAGACAGCAAACCCAACTCCAAAACGGTGTCAACCCTTCCCTATGCTTCCAAAGTGCGCTCTCTCTCTCTCTCTCTCTCTCTATATATATATATATATGGCTGAAATTACAGTTAAACAATGTACTTGCTTCGACTTGCAAACATTCAACTTATTTTGTTTGTAACTTGGGGACTGCCTGTATTAAAATACATAGTACAAAAATTAAAAAACAATATCAATAGAATGTAAGTTTAAAATATATAGTTTAAAATTGGGTAAGTGCTTTTTGTGTGTGTCAGGAGTGACTTGAGAAACTGCAAGTTACTTTTGGTGTGAAATAATTGGCCTTCTGCAAGGACGTTGTCCTGGGGACACCCAGATGTTTAACCATCCTGTGGGAGGCTTCTCTCATGTCACTGCATGAGAAGCTGGAGCTGACAGACAGGAGCTTACCCCTCTCCCCGGATTTTAATCACCAACCTTTCGCTCAGCAGTCCTGCTGGCACAGGGGTTTAACCCCTTGTGCCACCGGGAGCTCCTTAGGCTCATAAGGGGACTCCTAAGGCTCCTAAGTCTGCTTCTTTCCTTGCAGAAGTGATGAGCACAAAGCCTTGGATTGTTTAAACAAGTTTAGCATTGTTTAAAATAGTATCTTTTCTTTTATTCCTGCAGGAGATGAGAACCAGTCCAAAAACGAGGAAGAGTTCATCGTTCAAGAAAGTGCCAAGAGGCAAAAAAGCCGTCTGCTTCCCAGCCTCCAGGCTGCCCACTTTTCCCCGCCGAACCCTGACGGACAACTAGTTGCCAACAAGCATACTGCTCACAAACAAGATGCCCTTTTCCCCTGCCCTGAATGCGGGAAGAACTTCTCTCGTAAGTCCACCCTCACCAGACACCGGCGGGTGCACACAGGCGTCAAGCCCCACCAGTGCACCGAATGCGGCAAAAGATTCTTGCACAAGTTCAACCTGGTGAACCATATGCGAACCCACGTGCGAGAGGAGTCGAGCCGTTGTACATTGTGTGGAAAAAATGCCAAGCGGAATTCAGGCCCTGGAGGTCAAGAGAGGAAAGCGGGGTGTTGCGAATGCGCGGAAAGTTTTGGACCACTGTACAATACGGAGCAGAGAATGCCTGAAGCTGGGGAATCCTTCAGTTGACTTAAATACTGAGGAAAGAGAAGAGGGAAATGTAGATGACTTGAAAGTAGAGAGAGGAATTTTAGGAAATGTTCAGTCCCATAGGGAATGTATCTCTCTACCTTGGAACTTCCTAGAAGCTGGAGCCACATTCAGAGAACGAAGCAGTTATCTTAGGTGCAATCGAAGCAAATATTGCCTTCCGCAGCACAATTTTGGTTAATTATTTTATTTGTATTTTTGTTTGTTGATGTCTAGAAGCATCTAGGGGTGCATAAAGGGCAAGGGATTTTCTGCAGGAATAATAGTATACCAAATTTCGACAAACAACATCTGATCGCAAGCACTTCCGGCCTTAACAAAATCTTTTTCCTTGTATGAATATAAGCAAACGCCATCTTGAAAACAATATGGTAGACGGATGTTATCCAATTGTATCTTGGTTATTCATTATGTGGTCAGAGGCATCATCTACATTGCCAAATAATGTACCTTGAAACTGCATTATATGGTCAGTGTAGATTCATATAATGCAGTTCAATGCAATTTAACGGCATTATATGGTCAATTTGGACTCATAGTGCAATATAAACTGCATTATATGGTTAGTGAGTCCAAACTGACCATATAATGCAGTTCAAAACTGCATTATATAGCAATGCAGATGACTCCAGAATTTGGGGCAGGCCTCCAGGTTATTCAAGGATGGAAAAAATTGTGTATTTCCTGATGTTGTTGGATTGCAATTCCCATCATCCCAGTGGTGCAATGTCAATTCGAGATAGACACATGCTTCCAACCTCTTGAGAGAATGTCACCTCAAAGGCCTTCAATCCAGTGCCTCTTTATCAGGTCATGTTCAATGTTATGATAGAGATGACAACTCATCCACTGTCTGTCAAGTTTTATGTTTCTTTTCTAAAATAGTGCCTCAATAAGAGGTGAAAGAAATCACAATAATTTTTGTTGTCTATTTCTACTTTTCTGTTATGGTTGTTTGGGTGAGGAGTCTACGGTCTGCCCAAACTTTAAACTGTTTGTTGTGATGTGGGAAAATAAATGTCCTTTTTTTCTCAACTAGAGCCTGGATAGAATCCAAAGGACTGTCTAGCTAGTTCCATAAGACCCAAAGGGACTTTGGAGTTGGGTTTATACTGTTTTGGGAATAGTGACTACTTTAAAAAGTTTTTTTTGTTTTGTTAATACAAAATGGGAGCTCTACTGTTTAAAGGAGATTGGGTTAAAATTCCCATTGCGTTATGCTTAAAAAAGCTCTTTGCATGTCTGCCTGGTTTGTTGTACATGCCTGTCAAACACATTTCAAGTATTTCAAAGACTTCTAACACTACCCGTTTTCTAACCCCCTATAACATTGTTCCTATACCAAAACTGCATGTTTGGGACTTTGCGACGGTTATAGCGGCATATGTAAATTTTAGATTTTTTTTAAAAAAAAGAAAACAGGAAAAGAAATGGTTTTTGTAATTTTTTATTAAAGCTTTATTTTTTGTAGTTTGCACATTAAAACAAAGTCTAATGTTGTAATAAAAATGTTTAGTTCCTGGTGTTCCATTACCTTTAGGGGATGGTCCCCAAGTTCGTTGCTTCCTTTCCTGGTCGACCAGTTGAACCTGAGAGTGCAGCATAACCTTGGGATAGTAAAATGCATTGAATGCAGAGTAATTTTGCACATGCTTCTCTACCCACAGGCTAATTTCAGAAGCATTTGATCAGGAACTCATATACTATATATACTCAAGTATAAGTTGAGTTTTTCAGTTCCTTTTTTAGGCTGAAAAAGTCCCCCTTGGCTTATACTTGAATCAAGGTTCTTTATTATTTTGCCCTGTTATTATTTTTATTGCATTTATTATTTTACTCTTTTTACCGTTGTTGTTGTTGTTGTTGTTGTTATTATTATGTTTACATTATTTTATTCTATTATTTTTTATTCCATTTATCATTTAACTCTATTTATTATTATTATTTCATTTATTATTTTACTCCATTATTATTGGAAGAATATGTAAGCACATTTACATTGAAGAAGGTTATTGATGCATTTATTATTTTACTCTATTATTATTACATTTCCATTATTTTACATTATTATTATTATTATTATTACATTTATTATTTTACTCTCTTTATTATTATTGGATGGATATGTAAGCACATTTACATTGAGGAAGGTTAGAATAATGGTTTCATCAGAGTTGGATACTCTTAAAGATTTCTGTAAATATTCAAAAACATTGAACCTCCCTCTGCCGAGAAGCAGGAAAATTGCACTCAAAGCACCCCCGACAGATGGCCATCCAGCCTCTGGAAGCTTTTAAGCAGAGGCTGGATAGCCATTTGTCAGGGGTGCTTTGAATGCAATTTTCCTGCTTCTCAGCAGGGGGTTGGCTGGATGGCCCAGGAGGTCTCTTCCAACTCTATGATTCTATTGATGCCTCAATTAATGTAATTTTATTGGTATCTATTTTTATTTTGAAATTTACCAATAGCTGCTGCATTTCCCACCCTCGGCTTATACTCGAGGGTGGGAAACTCGAGGGGTTTTCCCTGTTTTTGTGGTAAAATTAGTTGGTCAGCTTATATTTGGGTCAGCTTATACTCGAGTACATACGGTAAGTTATTTTTTAGGCTGCAGTACTTTCACCCCAAGATTCTTCCCTTTCACATTGCGGGTCAGAAAACATTGGCTAAGTCTTCTGATCTGCAAACAAGGAGTAAAATGTAGTAAAGGTGAGTCTGTGTTGGGAAAGTCAGGTTGCAACCTTGAGAATTTTTCTGAGGTGTGGTGGTATATATTATACTTTATTTATACTCCATCTTATCTCTCCGAGGGGACTCAAGGCAGATTACAGTACACATATACGGCAAACATTTAATGCTGTTATACAACTAACAAGAGAGATAGTACATAAACAGAGGTAAAGGCTTCCCATCTTTTTTCCATCTCCGGCATCTAGAGGCTGTGATCAATTTTGACCATGGAGGAGGTGGTGCTGTCACTCCATCTTCCATGCCATGGAGCTTTGTTGTCTTTAGATACTCTCCAATCAAACCACCAGCATGTCCACATGGGTGCCCTTTATTACCCCGCCAAAGTGGTACTTACTTATTTACTCACATAGTATTTTCAAACTGTTAGAGGGAAGATATAGAGGGATTCCTCATGCCCAACGAGAGGATTTAATACATTATCTGTTGCATTGCACTTTGTATAATGACCCTCGAAACAATCTTCTGGGAGCCCTTTTGGAAGAAAGGGCAGCATGGCAACAGTCAGAAGTTATTTGTGACTTGTTAACAGATTATTCCAAAAATATAACATTAAAGGTTGCCACATTTGCAGTCGCAAATCCGAGCTAAATTGGTAAAGTCCACAGTGGAGGCTAGAAATGGTTTGGGATTATACAAATCCAGTTTGTGCATTTATTGAAACATGAAGTAGAAAACAACCAGAACCTGGTTAAACAAAAACTCAAAGGGTGCGCCTACACTGTAGAATTAAAGCAGTTTGACACCACTTTTAACTACCATGTCTGAATGCAATTGAAACCTGAGATTTGCAGTTTGGTGAGGCACCAGCAATAAAAATGTTGTAAAACTACAACTGCCAGGATTCCGGAGAATTGAGTATGGCAGTTAAAGTGGTATGAAACTGCACTAACTCTGCAGTGTAGATGTACCCATAGATCAGCACTGAAGTGTTTGCTTCGGTGGTAATTTTTGGATGTTGTGAAAATGCAGCAATTTGTTTGTTAATCCTTCATTTGTCGACTTTTTCTTTGTCCAAGAATGGGGAGAGGTGGTTGTTTGATTTTTCTACCTACTGTGCCAGACATAACTTGGCAGGCTTTAGATATGATATACCTACGACTGCGGGAAGGGAGGTGTTGCCACACATTTTAAAGCCAAGCGAGAGAATGTGGAAACCTTGTTGTCTTCTTGAGTGACAGAAATCCTGGCCAATATTTACAGCAGATAAACAGGTTGTTTTAGGGTTGCCAAGATCTTCACTTTTCGTGGGGTCATCTCCAAGTGAGAGACAAAGGTACAGTCATCTACTCTTGAGGGGCTTAACTCCAGGCAAAACTGTTGTTGTTGTTGTTAAGCGCCATTGCTATGTGCCAGTCTTCAACTCAGATATGAAAGCAGCAGCTTGCTTGAACTTGCAAGACTTCACTGATGTATTGCTGCAACTTGCAAAAGCTCTTTTGGAACAGCATTGGATAAAATTGGTAGGAAGGGGGAGATACCCAATGGCACATTTTATGCTACAGAAAATGAAAGGTGTCATACATGTATATCGGTATTTCTCAACCTTCCTAATGCCATGACTTCTTAATACGGTTCCTCATGTTGTGGTGACCGTCAACCATAACATTATTTCTGTTGCTACTTCATAACTACTTTTGCTACTGTTGTGAATTGTCATATTAATATCTGATATGCAGGATGTACTTTCATTCACTGGACCAAATTTGGCACAAATACCCAATGCGCCCAAATTTGAATACTGGTGGGGTTGGGGGAGGCGATTTTGTCATTTGGGAGTTGTAGTTGCTGGGATTTATAGTTCACCTACAGTCAAAGAGCATTCTGAACCCCACCAGCGATGGAATTGGGCCAACTTACTTATTTAGGTGATCCCTCATTGTTCGAGTAGGCAGACCCACCGCCGAGCGTACTGGCAGTGGGTCCGTAGTTGACTGTGAAGCCTTATTCTTTATCTGCATGTTCTCCCACAGTGAGGGCATCAGTTTCCAGGTGGAAAGCGGTCCCAGTCGGGGTTGGCTTGACACGCCTTCCTCTTGGCACATTTCTCTCTTTTGCCCTCCATTAGTACCTCTTCAAATTCTACAGCACTGCTGGTCACAGCTGATCTGCAGCTGGAGCTCTCGAAGGCCAAGGCTTCCCAGTTCTTGTTGTATACGCCTCAATTTTTAAGGTTGGCTTTGAGCCCATCTTTACATCTCTTTTTCTGCCCACCAACATTCTGTTTTCCATTCTTGAGTTTGGTGTAGAGCAACTGCTTTGGAAGACGGTAGTCGAGCATCCAGACAACATGGCCGGCCCAGCAGAGTTGATGGCGGAGGACCATCGCTTCAATGCTGGTGGTCTTTGCTTCTTCCAGCATGCTGACATTTGTCCGCTTGTCTTCCCAAGAGATTTGCAGGATTTTCCGGAGGCAGCGCTGATGGAATCATTCTAGGAGTTGAGTGTGACGTATGTGGTCAGTCCACGTTTTGCAGGCATATAGCAGGGTTGGGAGGACAATAGCTTTATAAACAAACACCTTGGTATCCCTACGGATGTCCCACTCCTCAAACACTCTCTGACCCATACGGAAAAATGCTGCACTCGCAGAGCTCAGGCGATGTTGTATTTCAATGTCAATGTTGACTTGGTGGAGAGGTGGCTGCCAAGGTAACGGAAATGGTCAACATTTTCTAATGTTACACCATTAAGCTGTATTTCTAGCATTGGAGAGGGATTGGCTGGTGGTCACTGCTGTGACCAGCAGTGCTGTAGAATTTGAGGAGGCACGAATGGAGGGTGAAAAGGAGAAGCGTGCCAAGAGGAAGATGCGTCAAGCCAACCCCGACCGAGACCGCCTTCCACCTGGAAACCAATGCCCTCACTGCGGAAGAAGATGCAGGTCAAGAATAGGGCTCCACAGCCACATACGGACCCACAAGAACACTGAAGACAATCATCCTCGGAAAACAAGGGATCGCCTAAGAGAGAAAGAAGAGGCTGGTGACCGCTTGAAGAGCACTTTGGTTTTCTTGACATTCAATGACAGGCCGAGCTTCTCGTATGCTTCTGTGAAGGTGTTAAGAGTGGCTTGTAGGTCTTCTTCTGAATGCGCACAGACAACGTTGTCATCAGCATACTGGAGTTCTATAACAGACATTGTAACCTTGGTTTTGGCTTTCAGTCTGCTGAGGTTAAATAGCTTACCATCTGAGAATTGGGCCAAACAGAACCCCCATGTCCAACAGAAAATGTTTTTGATGGTATTTGGAACCCCTCAGCCACCCCCTTGTGACCTCCCCCCCCAGGTGTCCCGACCCCCAGGATGAGTTCTTTCTCCAACCCTAGACATTCCACAGATATATAAACCTCACTTGCCTAGTTTCCAACAGACCTCACAACTTCTGAGGATGCTTGCCATAGATGCAGGCGAAACGTCAGGAGAGAATGCTTCTGGAGCATAGCCATTTAGCCGGGTAAACTCACAGCAGCCCAGTGATTCCAGCCATGGAAGCCTTTTGCACATGCTCAGAGGCACCATTTCATTTAGGTGATGCTCTTTCTGATGAATCCAGCAGAGGGCGCCTGTCCTTCTCTTCCTAGCCTTGCTTTGGTGTCTTTCCGGGACCTCCGGCAGGGGGCGCTTGAGAGCCGTGCTTCCTTCTCTCGCCTGGCATCACCAAAGCAGGAAGGCAGAGCGCTGGGGGGTTTCTTCCGGCCTGGTTGCAACTTGCAAGCTGGAACTCAGTGGATCCAAGACAACAAGGGAGGCATTCCTCCAGGTACGGGTCCAAAAATCCCTGTCCTTCGGGAGGGACACAAAAGCCGGGGTTGAGAGAAATTGGGGGTGTGGTCTCTGTCCACTAAGCGGCTGCCCCCCCCCACCCTCCAGGGATGCAAGCACATGCATTCATTTGCATGCTTTTTGCATGCATGTATGTCTCTTTTAGCATCTCCTTTTGAGTTCTTATATTTCAAACGCTTCTATGTACATATAACTGCAGGAAGATTCCACCTGAACATTAGGAAGATCTTCCTCACTGTGAGAGCTGTTCAGCAGTGGAACTCTCTGCCCTGGAGTGTGGTGGAGGCTCCTTCTTTGGAGGGTTTTCAGCAGAGGCTGGATGGCCATCTGTCGGGGGTGTTTGAATGTGATTTTCCTGCTTCTTGGCATGGAGTTGGACTGGATGGCCCATGAGTCTCTTCCAACTCTATGATTCTATGATGTTATGTTCTCTGAAAGTATATAAGCAAATACTGGTGGCCATCTGTCGGGAGTGCTTTGATTGTTTGTTCCAGCATAGCAGGGGGTTAGACTGGATGGCACATAAGGTCTCTTCCAACTCTATGATTCTATAATGTTATGTTCTCTGGAAGTGTATAAGCAGAGACTGGGTGGCCATCTGTCGGGGGTGCTTTGATTGTGTGTTCCAGCATGGCAGCGGGTTAGATTGGATGGCCCATGAGGTCTCTTCCAACTCTATGATTCTATAATGTTATGTTCTCTGGAAATATATAAGCAGAGACCGGGTGGCCATCTGTCAGGGGTGCTTTGATTGTTTGTTCCAGCATGGCAGGGGGTTGGACTGGATGGCCCATGAGGTCTCTTCCAACTCTATGATTCTATGAGGTTATGTTCTCTGGAAGTATATAAGCAGAGACTGGGTGGCCATCTGTCGGGGGTGCTTTGATTGTGTGTTCCAGCATGGCAGGGGGTTGGACTGGATGGCCCCCTTGGGGTCTCTTCCAACTCTATGTTTCTGTGTCTGTTTTTGCATTTCATGTGAGTTCTGCAATAAAATAATAATATAATTATAATAATATAATATAATATAATATACAAATCTCACAAACTCTGTGGAGGCAAAACGTCAGGAGAGAATGCTCATGGCCATACAGCCCAAAAGATCTACAACAACCCAATAATATACTTGTTTTAGCACATAAAAACTTGAACAACTGCACTGCACACCTCCCACTTCACGTCATTTGATCCTTATAGCATTATGTCATAATTAGTAACCTCATTGGGTTGATTATTACAGGTTGAGCTCCCCTTATCCAGAATTCTAAAATCCCAAACTTTCTATAGGTAGGTTGTTGCGAGTTTTCCGGGCTGTGAGTTTTCCAGAAGCATTCTCTCCTGATGGTTCGCCAGTATCTATGGCAGGCATCCTCATAGGTTGTGAGGTCATTGGTGGCGGAGATAGCAATTTTTTTTTCCTTTTTGGTGGTTCACTGTCCATTGTTTCATTAAAAATATTCTGCATAAAATTATCCTTAGGCTATGTTTGTAAAGTGTATGTGAAACATCAGTGAAGTTTGTGTTCAGATTTGCGTTACATCTCCAAGATATCTCATGAGTCCCCTCGGGGAGCACTCTAACAACCACCATGTCAGACTACACAGCGAAGCCATTGACATCCACAAGCATGTGGACAATTTCAACATGGCCATACTGTTGTTGTTGTTGTTATTTGTATACACATCAAATTATTCTTAAATGTACTAATTTGACCCAGTTTCTTTTTTCTTCTGCAGACTACTTTTACTTTGAAGAGTGAGTGGCAAGACAACCCAGTTCAGAAAAAAACACATCTCTTTCAGAGGTATAGCTTTTATTTTATCACTTATTGCTGTGATTGTGGCAACATAACTTCTAGGTAAAATCTATTCAAGAAGCATTTTATCTGGTTCTTTATTTGAGAACCTTATTTCTTAGTAGCTTGTGTATCTGGTGTTGTCCAGATTATTTGAAAAACTCAGTATATTAATTGTACAAAATTGTACACAATGCATAAGATTGTGGATGAACTACAACTCACATCAGGCCAGGTTAACCCCAAAAAATTCTGTCATGCTGGGCTAATTTGTTCTAGATGCGTTATTGGTGGGGTTCAGTGTGCTCTCTGGCTGTAGGGTGAACTACAACTCCCACTATTGTGGGTCAATCCCCTCAAACCCCTCCAGGAGGTTGGGTTAGTCATGGGGATTCTATGTTACAAGTTGTAGTTCGCCCACAACCAAAGAAACTGTGACCTTCATCATTGGTGGAGGTCACAGTTTCTTTGGTTGTGGGTGAACTACAACTCCCAGAAAGGAAGGTCAGTTCCCCCCCCCCCAAAAAAAACCTAGCCCCCAGTAATCAAATTTCAGCATATCAGGTATGTGTGCCAAGTTTGGTCCAGATCCATCGTTGTTTGGGTTCACAGTGCTCTCTGGATATAGGTGAACTGCAACTCCCCAAATCAAGGAGAATTTCTCCCAAAGACCTCCAGTATTTTTTGCTGGTCATGGGGGCTCTGTGTGCCAAGTTTGGTCCAATTCCATCTTTGGTGGAGTGTTCATTGATTGCAGTTGAACTATACATCCCAGTACTTACAACTCCAAAATGTCCTGGCCAATTCCCCTAAAAATGCACCAGTATTCAAATCTTGGCATATTGGGTATGCATACCAAGTTTGGTCCAGATACATTATTATTTGGATTCATAGTGTGCTCTGGATGTAGGTGAACTACAAGTCCTATCAATCCCTCCAAAGACCTCCAGTGTGGTTGTTAGTCGTGGGTGTTCTGTGTGCCAAGTTAGTTCCAGATCCATCATTGGTGAAGTTCAAAGTGCTCTTAGATTGCAGGTGAACTATACATCTCAGTATCTACAACTCCTATAAATCATGGTGAATTCTCCCCAAACCTCTCCAGTAAGTTCAGTAGCTGATCAATTCCTATGTTTACTGTGTGCCATAGAAAAGAATGGGAAAAGGTTAAGGGAGAGGCAGTGGGCGGGGTGATGCAAATTCCACACCAACAGACAGAGTAAGAAACACTGGGGTGCCTATGGTGGAGGAAACACATAAAATCTAGGATGAAAGCCTTCAGTTGGGTGGTGAGTAGTATAGTATGTGTGGAGGACATTGGCAGGGCTGTTGTACATGTTCATGGTTCTCACTGTCTATACAAATAAAAATGTAATGTTCGTTTGTGGGATTAACAGAACTCAAAAACCACTGGGCGAATTGACACCAAATTTGGACACAATACACCTAACAACACAATGTATGTCCTTCACTAATAAAAACACTAAAAAACACAGCAGAAGGGAGTTAAAAAGCCCCCAAAAGCTAAATAACGAAAAGCTAAACGACAATACAGAAAAAAGGGAAGAAAGAGGGAGAGAAGGAGAGAAAAAAACAAAGAAAGAAAGAAAAGAAAGAGGGAGGGAAAGAAGGAAGCAAAGACAGAAGGAAGGAAGGAAAGAGGTAGAGAAGGAAGAAAGGAAAGAGGGAGGGAAAGAAAAAGGGGGAGGGAAGGAAGGAAAGAGGGAGCGAAGGAAGGGGGAAGATGTAGAGAAAGAGGTAGGGAAGGAAAGAAGGAAAGAGAGAAGGAAGAAAAGAGAGACAGCAGAGGAGAAAGAAAAGGGGAAGGAAGGAAAGAGATAGAGAAGGAAGGAAGAAGAGAAGGAAAGGCAGGAAGGAAGGAAGGAAAGAGGGAGTGAAGGAAGGAGGGAAAGAAGGAGAGAAAGGGGGAAGGTTGGCCACAGTAAAGCGTGGCGGGTACAGCTAGTAACCTCTAATGTCATTGTAGGGAGGGCCATTGGTGTCTCCTGAGCAGTGGGAGCTATAGCTGTTTGTGTAGGCAGGAGCTTGTCTGTGTAAGTGGACACTCCAGCCACACACATATACGTATTTTCACCTTTATTATTTGTATAGATTGCGTTCCATCATATGCTGCATATTTACATTCTCGTGACATACCAAAAAATATGTTTGTGATTACGAAATAGTGGAGTGCAACCAACTTGCTTTTGCTTTTGGAAGAATTCTCTAAGCATGGAAGAGATCATCTTTACCAACGCCACCTTCTTTCCTCCTCCCTTGTTCCACCTTCAGAAATGCTCTTCTGCCTCCAAAATCTTCCATGGACAGATGGAGCTATTCTATCTGCAGAAGGAAGATCTGGAGCCAAGCCAGTGTTTACATAGCACTTCTAAATGCTCGAGACATAACATGCACTTTCAAGGCGATATGGAAATATACATCTTGTCGGAAAACGTAATTTGAAGGGAAGGGTGACCGGTTGAGGCAAAACTACATTTTAGTGATAGTACAACCATAAGCATGTATTTCAGATTCCACAATTCTTTGCATGTTTATTCAGTAGTACAGTTGGCCCTCCATATCCACAAATTCTGTATTTACATATTCAGCCATTTATGGCTTGGAAATATTCACTGCTAAAATTGCAAAAAGCAAACTTTGATTTTGTAATTTTATAAAAAGGTCATGATTTCACTCTGCCATGATATATAATGGGAGTTGAGCAACCTCAGAGTCTGGTATCCACAGAGGATCCTAAAACTCCAGCAGATTCCAAGTACCCACTGTAAATTGCAACAATCAGTGGGGTTTATTCCCAGATAAGCAGACACAGAACTACATTACAAGTCTGATTGGTTTCAGTGAGAAACTAAGGCCCTGTCTACACTGTCCTTATTTCCCAGGATCTGGTCCCAAATTATTTGCTTATCCCAGATTATATGGCAGTGGAAACTCACGTCTTGGAACGTGTGGTGGCCTCACAACTCCAGGTGTTCTTGGAGGACACTGATTATCTGGTTCCAGTGCAGTGTGGCTTTCGGCCAGGACATGGAACTGAAACAGCCTTGGTCGCCTTTGTAGAAGATCTGCATAGGAAACTTGACAGGGGAGTGTCCCTGTAGTTTTCCTGGGCCTCTCAGCAACCTTTAATACTGTAGACCATGGTATCCTTCTGGGATGCCGCGCTGGAATGGGTCTTGGGGGTACTGTTTTACAGTGGCTCTGGTCCTTCCTGGAGGGATGCTCCCAGAAGATGTTGGTGGTTACCTTCTTGACCTCACAACCATTGACCTGTGGGGTCCTGCAGGTTCTATACTATCCCTTATGTTGATTAACGTCTACATGAAGCCACGGGAAGGATCATGTGGTGTTTTAGAAATGGATTCCATCTGTATGCAGGTGATGTCCAACTTTATCATTTTCCACCTGCTACTAAGGAAGATGTTCAGGTCCTGGCAGCTGTGATGGCCTGGATGAGAGTGAACAAATTGAAACTGAATCCAGACAAGACAGAGGTCCTCCTGGTCAGTCACAAGGCCAAATAGGGTCTAGGGTAGTGGTTCTCAACCTGGGGTCCCCAGATGTTTTTGGCCTACAACTCCCAGAAATCCTAGCCAGTTTACCAGCTGTTAGGATTTCTGGGAGTTGAAGGCCAAAAACATCTGGGGACCCCAGGTTGAGAACCACTGGTCTAGGCTTACAGCCTGTGCTGGATGGGGTTATACTCCCCCTGAAGACTCATGTTCTCAGCTTGGAAGTGATCCTGGATTCATCATTAAGCCTGGAACCCCAGGTTTTGACGGTGGCCAGGGGAGCATTCACACAATTAAAACTTGTGTGCCAGCTGTGCCACCTTGGGAAGTCAGACTTGGCCACTGTGGTCCACGCTTTGGTCACATCCTGAATAGATTACTCCATCATGCTCTATGTGGTGTTGCCTTTGAAGACTGTTCAAAAGCTTCAAATGATCCAACAGATTGCAGCCAGGTTGATCACTGGAGCGGCATACAGGGAGCTCCACTGGACTCCAGTGCGCTATAGAGCACAATTCAAAGTGCTGGCTTTAGCCTATAAAGCCCTAAACAGTTCCAGCCCAGTTTTCCCATTATGAACCATCTCAGAGATTAAGATCATCTGGGAAGACCCTGTTCTCGGTCCCGTCTCCTTCACAGGTGCGTCTGGTGGGAACAAGAGACAGGGCCTTCTCAGTGGTGGCACCTCAGCTCTGGAACTCCCTCCCCAGTGATATTAAAGCAGTTCCCTCTCTCCTGGCCTTCAAAAGGAAAGTGAAAAACTGGTCCTGGGGTCAAGCTTTTGGAGATTAACTACAATGTAATAATAGCTATGGAATTATGTGCAATTACTTTTGGAATGGCCCCAGATTACGATTGTGGATGGTGTTAGTTGTAATAGTGCTTGTAGTGCTTTATATGTTTTAATGTGCATTTAATTTTAATTTTAAATCTTTAACTTAATGTATTTTAATTGTTTGTTGTTCAAAGGCATTGAATAGTTGCCATATTTAAAGCTGCCTTGAGTCCCTTTCAGGGAGGAAAGGCAGGATACAAATAGAGTAAATAAATCAATAAATGTTATCCACTTCAAAGCAGATAACCTGGGATCAGACCCTGAGATATAAGGACAATGTAGAAGGGGCCTAAGGTTGCAATCCTGTAATTAATCAGGAAATAAACTCTGTTGGATTCAATGAGATTCCGAAAATGTGTCTAGAACTGCCTTGCTAAGCATGTTTTATGACCTTGTCATCTTCAGCTTCTTTTGTTTTTTATTATGTCATTGATTTCTTTGCTCTGCTTGCAGGTGCCATGGGGGACTTGGGCCTAGGCCGGGAATTCCATACCTGGCACCAGTTCAGCCTCTTTTTCGATGACTGGTGTGAAAAGCACAAGGTGCTGTTCATCATTGCCAGCCTGAAGCCACTCGTCTCCCTTCGCCAGAACCCACCACCTTATCAGCCCAACTTGGCTGAGATACTCCGCTTCCGTTATGTGCGTCTTGTCTGCAAACACAGCGGGACCTATGTTGGACAAAGCATGGTGCAGCGGAACCACCAGTAAGTTGGTTTTAGTATGAATATGATTATTACATAATACTCTGTATTATATTGTGTGAGAGAGGATAGGACCCTGCTCCAAAATACTTGCAATATAAAATTCATCAAAGGTAAAGGTTTCCCCTGACATTAAGCCTATTCTGGGTGGTGGTGCTCATCTCAATTTCTAAATTGAAGAGATTACATTGTCCGTAGACTCTTCCAAGGTCATGTGGCCAGCATGACTGCATGGAGCGCCGTTACCTTCCCACAAAAGCGGTACCTATTGATCTTCTCACATTTGCATGTTTTCAAACTTCTGGGTTGGCAGAAGCTGGGGCTAACAGCGGGATATCACCCCACTCCCCAGATTCGAACCGCCAACCTTTCGGTCAGCAAGTTCAGCAGCTCAGTGGTGTAACCTGCTGTGCCACGAGGGAGCCCATCAAATTCATTATTGGAGTAATAACAGAACGGGGGGGGGGGAGGAATAAATTGGAAAACAGTATTGTATTGTCAAAAGCTTTCATGTCTGGAATCACTGGGTTGTTTTAAGTTTTTTGGGCTATATGGCCATGTTATAGAAGCATTCTCTCCTGACATTTCGCTTGCATCTATGGCAAGCATCCTCAGAGGTTGTGAGGTCAACAGTGAGGAAGACAGTATTGCTTGTCATCAGATCCTGTTAGTAGCTGGAGTTTCCATGAAATTGCAAGAAGGTTGTGTTCAACATTTTATTTATTTGTTTGTTTAATTTATTTATTGTGTCAGGAGCGAACCAAAACAGTTGTATTGCATTAAAAACAAACAAAACACAAAGTTTGCAGGCTTGGTATTCTATTAAATCTCCTTTGACCAGTAGCTGGCCACTTGGAGTGCCTCTGGTGTTGCTGCAAGAAGGGTCCTCCATTGTGCATGTGGCAGGGCTCAGGTTGCATTGTAGGAGGTGGTCTGTGGTAAACCATGACATGAGGAACTGTATTAACAGGTCACAGCATTAGGAAGGTTGAGAACTATTGGAATAAGGCAAACATTCTTGGGCACCTCGCTCTGATTGCAAAAACTAAAAGAAAATGTTGGTTTATATTGTTCTGTCCTATTTCAGCCATGGATGGCAACTCTTCTATAGGCCCACAGGGGTAGTTCTCATGCTGGGTATGTGGTTCATACTGTGACATAGAAGAAGGGTTTGGTGGGCCGAAACTTCCAGAATCTCAGCCATGCACAAAGGTCTGAATGGTCACTTTCAGTTGAATGTGATTATCAAATTCTGTGAGCTCTATGTGTGCTCTGTGTGTGCTTTATGTGTGTTTGAGGGATTGCCTGAACGGTTGTTACTTGTTATCTGATAGATTACCCCATTTGATCTCCTTCTCTCTTATAGATGTGAAAAGATTGACTGCCCAGCTGCCATCACACTGCGCTTAGGCCCCAAGAAGGACCGCCTGGTGGTGATTGAGTCCAACCTAGAGCACAGCCACCACTTGTCTGAACTGGAGTTCTCCCGTTATTTCAAGCGGCACCAGCTGACAGCTAGCCTGGGGCTGCCCATCCGTATTACCAACAACATATCGAAGCGCTTCCTGACACCTGACCTTATCTGGAGCCTGGGGGACTATAGCAAAGCGAAAGACAAGGGCTTGTGTGAGCTCCTGGCCATTCTGGATGGGCTCTTCAAGTCTGATGGGGGCGCTAAGGTCAAAATGGTGTTCCAGGAGGACGTGGCTGTGCTCGATCGCATCTTCCTGGCCACCTCACACATGCTCAAACTGGTGCGACGCTTCCCAGCTCGCCTTTTTCTGGAACGTGCTGCCTGTCTCAATGCAGAATTTGAACTCCATACAATATTGTGTCAAGACGCCAATGGACGTGGTCGTGAGGTGGCTTATTGCCTGGCACGACAGGGGCTACCTGACCTCCTTATATTTATGGTGGCCTCTTTGGTGCAGAGTGTCCCAGACATTAAATTGCAGGTGAAGGTGATCACAGTTGGGGCTGGCGCGACTGGTCTGGATGCAGTAGAGGAGGTGTTGCCATGTGCCCAGGTGCAAATCTGTCGCCTTCAGGTCTTGGAGATCCTCTATCTCAAGGCCTCTGAATTGGCTGTGCCAAATGAGGAGCAGATCCGCAATCTGCTGCTCAACCTGGCAAACTCTGACTCACCCCAGGTCTATTGCCAGTATCTGAGTGACCTAGAAAATGTGGCTCCATCCTCCTTTCTACAGTACATCCTGGAGTGCTGGCACCCCCACAAAGACATGTGGGTAGAGTGTTGGGCCTTTGAGAAAAACCAAGAATGTTCCTTTCTGGACCACTTTGAGGCCCATCGCCACAAGCTTCAGGTGGTGCTCAGATCCCCTATAGCACTGGCTGCTTGTCTACAAGGCCTCCTAGGACTCCAGACTTTACAGATGGAGAAGTCAACATTCAACGTGGCTCCTGTGGCTGAGTTGTACCGAACTGCCTGCCTGTCTGACGGCACCGAGCTGGTTGCCGAGGAATTGGACTTGTTGCCCCATGCACACTTTGAGCTGAAAGAGACACCCAAGGGATACCTGTTGGAAGAACACACCTGCTCTTTTCTAGTAAACCAGGATATGGCCACTTGCAGCTGCTCCATTTACTTGACTTGCCAGCTGCCATGCCGACACATCTTCGCCGTACGCCTTTGGGTTGGGGAGTCTTTGTTCGACCCCAGCTTGCTGCCTAACTTGCGAGACAAACATCAAGAAACCACAGTCCAGGATGAATGCTAGCTGTCGGACACATTGGACCAAGTCTCAGTTTCATAATGTGCCATAGTCACCACTGGGAAAAGTTACTTGTTTGGATGCAAGTCTAAGACTACCCTCCCTGTTGTGCTGGCCAGGGGAATTCTGGGACTTGCGGTCCAAACTGTTAGAGAAAATTACCCTAAAATATACAGCAGAGCATCCAAAAGCAAACAGGATACAAAAGTTGAGCACCAGCTCATTTGTGAGGAGAGTGTGAAGTGCCATGTGATGTGGCTGTAAAGAATTCAGAGCTTAGGCAAGCAAAGATGCAGAGTCCAATCACAAAAGATTTATTTACATCAAAAAACCACAGTCCAGGATGAATGCTAGCTGTCGGTCAAGTCTCAGTGGGTCAAGTCTCAGCTTAATAAATGGGCCATATTCACCACTGGGAAAAGTTACTTGTTTTGATACAAGTCTAAGACTACCCTCCCTGTTGTGCTGGCTAGGGAATTCCGGGACTTGCAGTCCAAACAGTTAGGGAAAACTACCCTAAAATATACAGCAGAGCATCCAAAAGCAAACAGGATATAAAAGTTGAGCACCAGCTCATTAGCGAGGAGAGTGTGAAGTGCCATGTGATTGGCTGTAAGGAATTCAGAGCTTAGGAAGCAAACATGCAGAGTCCAATCTTAAAAAATCACAAAAGGTTTATTTACAATAATAAGAAATAACTGCATAAGCTACTCTAACACCCATGTCTTCTAAGATTTCAAGAGAGGGAAAAACACCAATCACTACATCTCTTCTGACCCACAAGCAGAGAGAGATCTCAAAGCACACAGCACATACTCTCCATACTGAAATGTAAGGTCAGATTCAAAAAACTTGCAGTACAATTCTTTTCCATTTTGAACAACCAATCAGAATGAGAGCAAAAACTGTCATACAAAAGACATGCGGGAAGGTAATTCCCTCAGCCTATACTAAACTAACTGCTCTTTGAGGACTTGAGCCTTGGGCAGTGTGGGGTTGAATCCCAACACAATCAAGGAGTGTTTCATATGCATTGGATAGCTGGGCAGAGCTCTGGTGACCACCGCAATCATTATCATTCTTTGCTGCAAAGAAAATATTGGTCTCATTGGACTGTCATGCACCGTTGAGTTGAAGCAACCCAGTCTGTGGAAGAAAACTGAAAGCAGGCTAATAGTCAGGGACAAACTGCCATGCCTACCCATGTGCAAACCAAATGGCTCAGGTGCTAAGAAATATCATATATGAGCCACCATAATCAGAGTTACTGAGACACAGTCAGCTTACACAGCTCTTCTAGAGAAAAGGAAACAAATAAGTACAGTTTAAAGCAGTCCATCCTCATGTTCTCTAATTTGTGAGTTGGCAACTCTTCCCCCCATTGTACTAGGGACCAGTATCAGATGTGTATCCATGGGGTATAAATGCTTTTTTCTTCTTGGAAATTTGCCAAGGACTAGCACTGCTCCACAAACCAGTACTTTTGAATAGCATTGATTTAAAATAGAGTTGATGTCACGAAGTTTGTAGACCACTACTGTGAATTTTTAGACTTATAATAATAATAATAGCAACAGCAACAACATGCTTTATTTATTACTGACACTTAGACAATAGTTTGTTCTGCAAATCAAAGCACAATGTTCTGTAAAGCCAAATTATGGCTGTTTTTGGTCAGCAGAGTGAGCTAAGACTAGGTTCTTGTGGGTTTTTTCGGGCTATAGGGCCATGTTCTAGAGGCATTTCTCCTGACGTTTCGCCTGCATCTATGGCAAGCATCCTCAGGAGAAATGCCTCTAGAACATGGCCCTATAGCCCGAAAAAACCCACAAGAACCTAGTGATTCCAGCCATGAAAGCCTTCGACAATACATTGAGCTAAGACTCCTTTTAAAAAATCTGTTCCATTGTGGTGGAAGTTTTCTAACAAAAAAAGCTAGATTCTGTATCCAGTATGTCATCTATGTGGACTTAAATTACACCCATGTAGTCTAAAATCACTGGACATATATATGTAACTGCTTAGGATTAGGTGGTTAAGCACAATTGCTTAGTCTGTATAAATTATTCTTCTTTGTTTAGCTATGAGAAGGGTTCAAGAGTTTTGCGCAAACAAGTTTTCCATCTCCCCCCCCCAACAATTTAGCCTAATTTTAGATATTTGAAAATGATATTTTAAGGATTTAATATGTTAGTAATTATGTGGACATATTTTACGTTTTGTTCATTTATGTTGATTTATAATTTACTGAATTATTTCTGATTTGTCTATGGATTTTTTTTATGTATTATTGTTGACATTGAATGTTTGCCATTGTATATTTTGTTGTGAGCTGCCCTGAGTCCTTTCAGGAAGATAGGACAGACTATAAATAAAGTTTAATTCATTCAGTCAGTCATTCATCCTTGGACCACTGGGGATTCTGCTCATCTCTACTGTTTTTATTTAGCTTCTGAAATGCCATACGATTTGGTCATTTTCAAATACAGTGATCTCTTGGTATCAATTGGATTTTGTGCCAGGACCCACAGTGGATACCAAAATCAAGTTTTATTATGTACAGTAGTCTCGTTTATATAATGATAATAGCAAGGTTTGCTTTTTAGATTCTGTTTTTTATATACTATATATATCCCCACCAACGATGGACCTGGACAAAACTTGTCACACGGAACCCCCAAAACATACTGGAGGTTATAGTTCACCCTGTATCCAGAGAGCACTCTGAAGCCCACCAATGATGGATCTGGACCAAACTAGGCACACAGATCCAACGTGGCCAACTTTGAATACTGGTGGGGGTTTGGAGTGATTGACCTTGGAATCTAGGAGTTGTGGTTCACCCACATACAGAGAGCACTGAACCTAGCTGACAACAGATCCGGACCAAACTTGGCACACAGACCCAACATGGTCAACTTTGAATACTGGCAGGGATTTGGAGGTGATTGACCCACAATTTTTGGGAATTGTGGTTCACCCACAGCCTTGTGCATTTTCTAAAGGGAGTATTTATAAAAACAAAAGGAAAGATTGGCTTTTTTCTAAAATAAAAAACAGTTAAAAATGACCAATTAAATATTACGTAACATCCAAAAACAAAAAAAAAAAGCCTTTTTCTAATAACCCGGGCATCACAGAATAGCCAAACTAGTATCCATGTGTGTGTGTGTGTGTGTGTGTGTGTGCGTGTGTATCTATTGTGTGTGTGTGTGTATACACACACACGCATACAAACACAAGGGTTGAATGAAAAGTAATGCCTCTACCTTCGTAACTCCTCAACAGATGGCAGTACTGGTATGCGGCAGGTACTGGCTTGTTCAGTAGACTCTCCTCTCCAGTTCCATTTTGGCAAAAAGCCTTAGGATTGAACGGTTGTGTTGTTAAAGTGCGAAGTATGGAACCCTGCGCAGACGGTCGGTCAATGCGACTTAAGCAATGTGCAGTCATTCAACTCTTGACAGCAGAAGGTGTCACCCCAAAGGAGATTAATCAGAGAATGCAAGCTGTTTACAGTGATTGTGTTGATGAGAGTACTGTGTGTCATTGGACGAGTAAGTTTAAAGATGTTGAGATGGGAACTTCTGACTTGCGTGACAAACAAAGAGTTGGACGTCCTGTGACAGCAACTGCCAGGTTTCACAAGCAAAAGATTGACGGATTGATTCAGGATGATCGTCGTATCACTCAGAAATTTCAAACATAATCGGCATTTCACAAGAACATGTGGGTCATTATTGCTTTGCTTGGCTATCGGAAGATCTGTACACAGTGGGTACCCAGGATGCTGATGCCTGAAATGAAAGCGCACAGACGTGAAACTTCAGAGTCTGGATCTCACCACCGTACGGCATCCTCCATACAGTCCAAATTTACCAATGTGTGACTTCCATCTGTTCCCGATAATGAAAGATCTGTGGGGACATCATTATGCTTCTGATGAAGACGTTGAGAGAACTGAGACGCTGGTTGCAGAAACAGAGTGTTGACTTCTTCCGTGACGGCTTCAGATAACTTGTTCATTGTTGGCAGAAATGTACCCAATTGTCTGGTGATTATGTGGAAAAGTGAATAGTGGTGGTTAAAGAGCACATTCTAAGGATTATTTCCGCATTTGATTTATCAAAATATTCCTTTTAAAAATTGTTTTATTGGTTTTTCCCACTCCCACCCTCCCCTCCTTGTACATGCAATTTATACATCAAACTACAGACGTTACATATGAAATATCAGTCTCAGTCTTAATTTTTCTACTCCACATCTTAGCACATTCTCTAAATAATTCCTAAAAGGTTCCCACATCCTTTTAGTTATTGTAATCTTTTCAATTTTTTCTATATTATTCAATTTGCAATTTGTTATTCCCACATTTAACATATTAACTATATAGTTATACCAATTAATCAGTGTCCATTTTGTTTTATCTTTCCAACCCCTCACTAAAACAATTTGTGCACATGCTATTAATTTGTCAACCAATTTTTCCTTTTGTATATTCTTCACTCCTGTTACCTGTGCATGTAGTACATTTCTATTAATTGTTACTATTTGTAAATTTAACATTCTATTGATTTCCCCTTCAATCATTATTAAAATATTCCCATCCAAACACAAGTAACAAAGGTGGAGGCATTAGTTTTCATTCAACCCTGTGTGTGTGTATTAGAATCCCAGTTAACCAGAACTCAAGCAATCAGCAAAACATAGTATTTTAAAGAAAGGCTTAGATCACAAAGCTGTTTTATAATAAAACTGTTCTATTGAGTTGTCTTCATTTGCTTTGGAATTACTGTATTTCCATAGGAACCTCAAGTCAACAAAAGAGTTTATGGTATACTATTAGATAGACCTGTTTATAATAACTGAAGCTACTAGAAACTAAATTTATCCAGAACTAGCTGTCCCCTGCCACGCGTTGCTGTGGCCCAGTCTGGTGATCTGGAAAATAAAGTAATGAGAAAGTGTTGGTTTCTCATATATGGGATTTGTTTCTGCTTGTGGGTAAACAGTATTTCTTGCTGTTTCTTTGTCAGTGCTGATGTGGAGAGTGTCTGGTTTGCCCACCTGGAACATGCAACATATCATTGTCCTTCTTTAAGGGTCCCTTTCAAATCTATGATACTATATCTGTGTGTGTGTGAATCATATCTATCTATCTATCTATCTATCTATCTATCTATCTATCTATCTATCTATCTATCTATCTATATAGCCCAGGGGTATTTGTCAGGGGGACTTTGATTACGGTTTCTTGTCCTGATGAAGGGAGTTGGATTGGATGGCCTTTAGTATTTTCTGTTGGTCATGGGAGTTCTGTGTGGGAAGTTTGCTCTGATTCTGTTGTTCGTGGGGTTCAGAATGCTCTTTGATTGTAGGTGAACTGTGAATCCCAGTGACTACAACTCCCAAATGTCAAGGTCTATTTCCCCCAAACTCCATCTGTGTTCATATTTGGGCATATTGAGTGCTTGTGCCAAGTTTGGTCCAGATCCATCATTGTTTGAGTCCACAGTGCTCTCTGGATGTAGGTGAACTACAACTCCCAAACTCAAGGTCAATCAATGCCCACCAAACGCTTCCAATATTTTCTGTTGGTCATGGGAGCTCTGTATGCCAAGTTTGGTTCAATGTCATCGTTGATGGAGTTCAGAATGCTCTTTGATTGTAGGTGAACTATAAATCCCAGCAGCTACAACTCCCAAATGACAAAATCATACATGTTTGAGTGATGGTCACTCCTTGTGTTGTGAGACGTTTTGTCACCAATTTTGGTGTGATTTCGTTCATTGGTTCTTTTGTTTTAAGGTACTCATTATGCACAGAACATTTATATATATATTAGCTTTATATATTCTATCTATCTATCTATCTATCTATCTATCTATCTATCTATCTATCTATCTATCTATCATCTATCTATCTATCTATCTATCTATCTATCTATCTATCTATCTATCTATCTATCTATTGATAGATAGATAGATAGATAGATAGATAGATAGATAGATAGATAGATAGATAGATAGATAGATAGATAGATAGATAGATAGATAGATAGATAGATAGATAGATAGATAGATAGATAGATAGATAGATTTGGGACTGTATAGAATATAAACATAGCTATATGCATGGCTAGATAGAGGTATGCCTGTGTATAAACACATACACTCATTTGCAGAAGACTGCACTTCCTCCTTTTTTCCCATGGAGCAACAGGGTGAGTGAGTCACACAGAACGGCTTTCAAGAACTCGATTTCCCGGCATGCCTCAGCGTCGCGCGTGTGACGTCACTGCTGGTGGCTGGCCCTGTCAGTCAGTGAGTCAGAGGCTGGGCTGGATTTTCGCGCGAAAAACAGAAAGAGGCTTGTGAAAGAGACGGAGAAACGAGGCAACTCGCGCAGGTGAGGCCTTCTTCATGGTTTGACATTGTTATTAGACTACATATACAACACAATTACACCAAACACACATATAGGAACCAAGTTGTCTATGTATGTGTGTTTGTGTGTGTGAGAGAGGAGAGGGTGCCTCTCCATCTGGCCTGGGCAAACTTGGGCCATTCCAGGTGTTTGGGACTTAGAATCATAGAATCCTAGAGTCGGAAGAGACCTCTTGGGCCATCCAGTCCAACCCCCTGCCAAGAAGCAGGAATATTGCATTCAAATCACCCCTGACAGATGGCCATACAGCCTCTGTTTAAAAGCCTCCAAAGAAGGAGCCTCCACCACACTCCGGGGCAGAGAGTTCCACTGCTGAACAGCTCTCACAGTCAGGAAGTTCTTCCAAAGGTAGAATCTCCTCTCTTGTAGTTTGAATCCATTGTTCCGCATCCTAGTCTCCAGGGCAGCAGAAAACAAGCTTGCTCCTTCCTCTCTATGACTTTCTCTCACATAGTTATACATGGCTATCATGTCTCCTCTCAGTCTTCTCTTCTTCAGGCTAAACATGCCCAGCTCTTTAAGCCACTCCTCATAGGGCTTGCTCTCCAAACCCTTGATCATTTTAGTCACCCTCCTCTGGACACATTCCAGCTTGTCAACATCTCTCTTCAATTGTGGTGCTCAGAATTGGACACAGTATTCCAGGTGTGGTCTAACCAAGGCCGAATAGAGCATGGGTAGCATGACTTCCCTGGATCTAGACACTATACTCCTAATCATGCAGGCCAAAATCCCATTGTCTTTTTTTGCCGCTGCATCACATTGTTGGTTCATGTTTAACTTACTGTCCACGAGGACCCCAAGATCTTTTTCACATGTACTGCTATCGAGCCATGCATCCCCCATTCTGTGTCTTTGCATTTTATTTTTTTCTGCCAAAGTGGAGTATCTTGCATTTGTCATTTTGTTAGTTTTGGCCAATCATCTCTCTAATCTGTCAAGATCGTTTTGAATTCTACTCCTGTCTTCTGGAGTATTGGCTCTCCCTCCCCATTTGGTGTCGTCTGCAAACTTGGTGATCATGCCTTCTTACCCTTCATCAGAGGTTTAACTCACAGCCCCCGGTGGTGCAGTGGGTTAAACCCTTGTACCGGCAGGACTTGAAGACCGACAGGTCACAGGTTCGAATCTGGGGAGAGCGTGGATGAGCTCACTCTATCAGCTCTAGCTCCTCATGCGGGGACATGAGAGAAGCCTCCCACAAGGATGATAAAACATCAAAAACATCCTGGCGTCCCCTGGGCAGCGTCCTTGCAGACGGCCAATTCTCTCACACCAGAAGCGACTTGCAGTTTCTCAAGTCGCTCCTGACATGACAAAAAACAAAAAACCTTCATCTAAGTCATTAATAAAGATGTTGAACATGACCGGTCCCAGGACGGAACTTGGGCCACTCTGGGTGTTTTGGACTTCAACTCCCACAATTCCAAACAGCCTACTACAACTCCTAGAATCCCCCAGCCAGCACAGCTTATAAGTGACACTTATAAAATGTACCTGTTCTGACTTGCAAGCAAATTCAACTTTGGAACAAACCTACAGAACCTATGTTGTCCGTAATTTGGGGACTGCCTGCGCATTCTGTAATTCAGGCTGTATGGCCATATTCTAGAAGGTGAACAACCCAATGATTAAGGCCCTGAAAGCCTTCGACAAATCTGTAATTCATTTAAATTGTTCTTTATTTACATCACTCTAGATGAGTTCTTGCAGTACTCCTGGAACTTAGGGTGTATGATAGTTTGACGGAACTGTAGTTGCTTATCTGCGTCTTCTCTCCATTTGCCATCAGATGTGGCCTGCGATGAAATAGGATCTACCACATATTCTATACAAGCCTTTACAATGCAGAGCACAATAAGGTAAGCAACACCATACCTGAATTTTGGAAGGCATTGCGTGTAAACCTTGGAAGTTCTTTTCTTTTCCTAGTGTGTAAAACATGGAAAACAGCCATTTTGAAGGCAAATATTTGCTTATGAACTCACCCCATAAAGTTGAACACTGTTAATAATTTTTAAGAACAGGTATTCAAATGAGTGTTTTTATTTAGATCCATTTTTTTCAGACTACCAAAATTAGAAACACAGTACGTTTCATGCCAGAATTGCAACACACTTTTGTCTGTAGCATGTTAACCCCTCTGTAGCAAAACACCTGCAATGGGAGAATATTTTTGTTATTACTGAGGGCCACATTCACTGGAATATATTATCAGGGGTCCCATGGCAGCCATAAATGAATAAAGCAAGCTGCTTTTTAAACTCTTTCATTTGCCCCTGCATCCTCCCCTCCTATTAGAATACCAGGGGAAGGAAAAGGTTACTCATGATACCATCTTCCAGGACCACTGTTTTATTAGTTGTGATTTTATTTGTGGTATTAAGAAAACTGTTGTCTTTTTAAACTATAGGGCTGTCAGAAGCTCATGTCACCATGTTGTTGCAAAAATGGCAATAAACTTTCCACCCCTATGTGAAGGAGGATGTGTATAACCCTGTTTATTTATGTGTGGACAGATCATTCTTCCAGCCAGTAACACGGGCAAAGCCTGGAAAAGAAGTAGCAGAAAAACTTGAAGAAGAACCCACTCCCAAAAAGTGAGTTATCTTGGTAAAGGTTTTCCCCTGACATTAAGCCCAGTCATGTCCAATTCTGGGGTTGGTGCTCATCTCAATTTCTAAGCTGAAGAGCCAGCATTGTCTGTAGACATCTCCAAGGTCATATGGTTGGCATGACTGCATGGACCACCGTTACCTTCCTACCGGAGTGGTACCTATTGATCTACTCACATTTGCATGATTTTGAACTACTAGGTTGGCAGAAGCTGGAGCTAACAGCGGAAGCTCATGCTTCTCCCCAGATTTGAACCTGTGAACTTTTGGTTAGAAGTTCAGCATCTCAGCAGTTTAACCCACTGCACCACTGGGGGCTCCTGCTGAATTTAGGATGTTAAATATTCACTGAATTTCCGTTGCCCATATGAACTCTAAAATCTGGTGTGATTTATTCAATACATGCAGCATTAATTATTGTAGCCGCTTTGGGTCCTGTTTAAGGATTAAATCAGGATATAAGTAAAGATTTGCTATTATTACTATTTTACTGACACAAAAACACAGAATGCCACAGCAAACGAGATATATGTGCTGAATTTCGTATCACAAAATCACAAGTTGAACACTTCCCAAGCATGTTGTTGTTGTTGTTGTTGTTGTTGTTGTTACTATTATTGTTGTTGTTGTACTGAGACTTATTCTAAGGTCTGAGATTCAAATTACCATATCAGAGGCCAACAATTACAGATGCAACATTGATTGCTGTTGTCTTATGCTGTACAGATTTCTGAAAGGCTGACTAGGCAAGCTGTTCGTTCATATTCAGAATAAGATCCTATAATGGAAAATGGTACAGAAACCTTCTTTTTCTTTTCATACCCACCCCTTTTTTCTAAACATTGTTGATTGCATCAGTGTCATGTCAAAGAAATCTATGTCTATTAAAGAAGACATTTGCTGTCCAATATTGATTGGTTAGTTACAGTTTCTAGTAATTTCTTCATTCTGCCTGAAGCCAATTTGCTACCTAAAAACACTACTAAAGTTTGATTTTTGACCTTGTTCTCTGCTGATGGCAAATGAAGAACAAGCTTCAGATGCATTCTAGTGCAAATAAATTGCATTAAGGATGGCTTATATATACATACACCAAGAGTCAGTATGTTGGAATAATTAGTGTAGTGTGCAAACATTTGGGGGGGGGGGGCACATTCAGACCTTCAATTTGCCACAAAGCTCACAGAAGAATTTCAATCCATATTTATCTGTGTTTCAATCCATCATTAACTCACAGTGTACCTGTAAACATAAAATGTTTGTGGGGAAAGTCATATTCTCTTCCTTGAGGTGTTTGGACTGGGATCCAATAGCTCTGTTGTTAAGTGCTCTCCTCCCTTTTAGGAAACCAGTAAACTCCGAAAAGCCATTAAATGGTACAGCACTCTGTGTAGACATCCCAGAGAATCCAGCATCCAAAAAAGGTGAAGACAATTCTGTGAAATCAGAAGAAAAGGATACTCAGTCTGATGAGAGCAAGCAGGTAGGGCTATTTCACTCATTTCCAGATCTTTCTTTAATAAACCATGCATGCATCCATCCTGTCTTTCTATTGTGTAATGCTGATTTTCTCATGTCTGTGTTCCTTTCTGTTATTTTTGTGCCCAACAATATGGTCTATTCACAGTGCCCTAATTCAGGATTGTGGATAAAAGGGTTGTTCTGTTCCCAGTTTGTAGAAACTACATCAGGTGTCCTTATAGTATTTTTGCTCTGCCAGCAATGGCACGAAAGAGTCAATGTATATTAGAGACCTTGCTTGATCCTTTGTGCTTTAGCTTGGCAGCCAAAGACTGGGAAAACATAGGAAAGATGGATATCTTAGGGAAGTTTATTTTCCTCTGTTTCCAACATACCTGCACAGTAGACATCGTTAATGGAGCAGAGATAGGTCATACCGGTGCATATGTATTTTCTTTGTTTGCTTCTGTATTATATAGCCTTTAGGAGTTTGTCTTTCATTAGCTTCATCTGCTGAGAGTGCCAGTAATAGGGGCTGAATATAGCCAGTAATATAGCCATATAGCCAGTAATAGGGGCTGAATTTGATTTCTGGGGATAGTCTGGGTTGAAAAGGTTTGGGGAAACAGTTTGCCCATTGGCTGTTAGGAAATGCTAGACCGGGCATGGGCAAACTTGGGCCCTGCAGGTGTTTTGGACTTCAACTCCCACAATTCCTAACAGCCTCAGGCCCCTTCCTTTTCCCCTTCAGCCACTGAAGCGGCTGAAGGGGAAAAGGAAGGGGCCTGAGGCTGTTAGGAATTGTGGGAGTTGAAGTCCAAAACACCTGCAGGGCCAAAGTTTGCCCATGCCTGTGCTAGACTGTTCAGCAAAATGCTTCTATGCTATGCTGGAATGTTTCTACACTATGTACTCTACTGCTGTGCTATGCCATTCACCATCAATACATCGGTAAGGTGTGTCAGTGTTATGTTTAGTATTATTATGGGAGGCTACAAATATGGCAAGTTCTGGCAGAAGATAATCATCCCCAGTTGTTTTTTTGTTTGTTTGTTTTGGTTTTTTGCTCTCTCCAGCCTCAAGAATATGATACCTTAATTTGACATAGTTCCTTCTGTGCACTAGACCTTTTCACATAATAGCTCTTCCTCTCTAGGAATCTGTCTGTGTTCCTGAGCAAAGTAAACCTGTTGAGAAAATCTCCCCAAGTACCAGCCCAGCTGCATCTAATTCAACCTCACCATCTAGCATCCCACGACGCAAAACTGGTAATTGTCCATCCTTCTTACATGTGAGTTTGTGATGTAGAGGTGGGCAAAATGTGGCCTTCAGGTGCCATGAGACCCCCCCAATTCCTTTTCATGCCCTCAGCTTTCCCCAAAAGTTTGAAATCCCTCTCTCGGGTTTTTTTAAATGAGTGAAAATTATTTCCAAAGTGTCCAAACCACTATAAAAGTTCACAGATCTGTGATGGCTGTCTTTATTTGTCTATCACAACACTCTCCCATCCACCCAAAAATGAAATGGAGGAACTGCCAAAATATCAGTCAAAAATTAATCTTAAATTATAACTCATTTGGGATGGCGGGGAGACTGCAGGGGCAAATATTTTCCCTCCAGTAATGGTGCAGTTGCCCACATCTGTTCCTTTTGGTATAGTTCCTCTGCTATAGATAATTTAAATTGCTATCTTTGAAATTATTCATGAAATAATATGACATCATTTTGTCTCTTGTTTTCAGCTCGTAAGCAGGTCCCTAAACGTAAAGCAGAGGAAGAAGTTGACAGTCATAATAACTCTCAGGAGATTCTTAGTGCCAAGAGGCAGAAAGGAGATGATGATAGAGATGGTGAGTGTTTTCAATTGGCTTTGTTGGGGTCTGGAGAAGGGAAACACATGTTTAAGAAGCAAACTTTTCTGGATCTTTCAAGCTCATTGTTCCCAGTACTCTTGTTCCATTTCGATATATATTTCTATGTCTGGAGATGTCAAAATCTTCCTGTGACTCCAAGACTGAGTTGGGCAGTTTACAAGTCCTTTGGACATATGGATCCTGCATCTTTTATAGGTTCACATGGAGAGGCTGACGCAAGACCCATGGAAGTGGAAGAAGTGAAGGTCAAGAAAGAAGAGGATCCAAAATCAGTAGAGTGTGAAGAAGAGACAGAAGCAGAGGAAGAGAAGACGCTTGCATCCTCTAAGCTACCCAGCAAGGCCATCTCTAGCTTTTTTGGTGAGCATGTGGTAGACCCATTTGTATGGGAATATGCTCATCTCAGTGACCACACTGGGAATGCAGTGTAGGAAAATGGCCACAGTTACACATGTTTGATGGGATAACATAAAGGTGCACTTACTTACTTACTTACTTACTTACTTACTTAGGCGATCCCTCGTTGGTTGAGTAGGATAGTCTTCCAGAATCAGTATTCTTGTGGGTCGTAGGTGACTGTGGAGCCCTATTCTTGATCTGCGTCTTCTTCTGCAGTGAGGACATTAGTTTCCAGGTGGAAGGCGGTCTCGGTCGAGGTTGGCCTGACACGCTTTCCTCTTGGCACGTTTCTCTCTTTCACCCTTCATTTGTGCCTCTTCAAATTCTACAGCACTGCTGGTCACAGCTAACCTCTAGCTGGAGCACTCAAGGGCCAGGGCTTCCCAGTTCTCAGTGTCTATGCCAGAAGTTTTAAGGTTGGCGTTGAGCCCATCTTTAAATCTCTTTTCCTGTCCTCCAACATTCCGTTTTCCGTTCTTGAGTTTGGAATAGAGCAACTGCTTTGGGAGACGGTGGTCGGGTATCCGGACAACATGGCCGGTCTAGCGGAGTTGATGATGGAGGACCATCGCTTCAATGCTGGTGGTCTTCCAGTACGCTTCTTCCAGAATGCTTCTTCCAGCATGCTGGCATTTGTCCGCTTGTCTTCCCAAGAGATTTGCAAAATTTTCCGGAGGCAGCACTGGTGGAATCGTTCCAGGAGTTGCATGTGATGTCTGTAGACAGTCCACGTTTCGCAGGCATATAGTGTGCATGTGGTAGACCCATTTGTATGGGAATATGTGTATCTCACAGACCACACTGAGAATGCAGTGTAGGAAAATGGCCACCGTTGCACATGTTTGATGGGATAACATAAAGGTGCACAAACACACCTTTAATAATACCATTAGTCAATATGACTAAATCAAAATTTGATTTAGAATTGTGGAAGGTGTTCTTCTGTGGAAGAAGAGATGCCAGTTGAGCGAGTGGGCTGATTAACAAAAGACCCTCCTCATGAAGGTGTAGCAGAGTAACTTATTAGCAGCAACGCGACCCAGCACCAGTAGCCAAAAGTGATAAAAAGAACAAAAACACACAGACCAATGTTATCTCTTCCATAGCAGGCTTTTCTTTATAGCAAAATAATATGGTTACACTGTTTACAAAAACAACGTTTCCATGACATAAACAAAGTTCTTTATACTTCCTTCTTTGCTTCCACACAGGGCTTCGCTCTCACAGAGCCTCTTCTCACACTGAACTTACACAGGAGCTTCACACGGTAGCTTTACGCACAGCAGCCTTCACACGCAATGGCCTTCAATCTGGGGCTTCTCTCACTGAAGCTTCTCTCACACCGAGGCCTACTAACACAGACCTACCACTCCCTGACACCTTTCTTCCATTGAGGGCTCTCTCCCATTGAGAGCTCTCTCACACTGAGGCAAACTAACACTGAGGCCCTTCTTCCACAGAGACCTCTCACAGACTGAAGCTACTAAGCTACAGGCACACTGTTTATATTGAATTTTTCTGAGTCATTGTATCCATTTAACCCTTTCAGTGCTTGACTCACATTTTTGTAATTAAAATACCTAGTTAATTTTTAACTAGGTATTTTAATTAATTAATTTTTATTTCTGACAGTGCCCTCTATGCCAATATCCCATATCATAAAGAGAGCAGATGCTGCAACATCAGTATGTTGTATGAGCCAAGAGATTATCATCCGTCTTTCCCTTTAATACTATGAGTGATGTTTAAAGTACTGGAAACAGTATTTTTCAAAATTAGGCTTTGTGCAAGTGCCTCTTACTTTGAGATAACTCTCATACATGAACGAACCATCAATCCAAAATAATTGTATTTCAGCCCATATAGGGATAGGTGTCACATTTGTCTTTTTTCTTCTTTTCAGCCCCCAGGAAAACCTCTGTGAAAGCAGACAAAAAGCAGGAACCTGTCTCGGAAAAAAATGTGACTCCAGCAAAGAGTCAAAATGAAGGCAAAAAACATGAGTCGAACAGTGTGGCTAAAGAGTAAGTGTTTTGTGCGTTTCGGAGGATGGGATGGGAAGCAACTTGTCCTATGTTTGCCTTGCATGTCACCAAATTCTCAATCTGTGGGTTCCCAGGTGTTTTGGCCTACAACTCCCAAAAATCCCAGCCAGTTTACCAGCTGTTAGGACATTGAAATGGAACTTTTTGTGCCCTTACTGCTGTACTGATGTACCGATGTGCTCCAAAGGACTTACAACATGATACATAGCAAGAGGCAGATTCTTTTAAACATGCGGATCAGTAATATTAATGTATTTACTTGTTATGCTTCCTGAAAACATGCATGGTGGGTACTCTCAAACTAAGTCCATCTATCTTTCCTGCTTTTTCAGTTCTCCAAAGCCCTCTCCCACACTTGAGCCTTCAGAGTACAACTCGGCAAAGAGCAACTATCATCCTATCCATGATGCTTGTTGGGGTCCTGGTCAGAGGTGACTGCTACTGATGTGGAGTTTTGTATTGAAAAAAGTTGTTGAGCTCAACCTTTACTTCTATACTCTTTATGTTCATGCCTGTTTTATCACAGTACAACAGGACATATATGTGTTGACTTAACTATTTGGAAATCAGCCTCATCATAATGGCTCTGAAACTGATCCTTAGTTTGATTTCTATCACAAGGGAAGAGTCTGCATTGTTATGTTATTTGTGGCTGACTAATTGGTGTTTGGAGGAGCCCCTGATGGTGCAGCAGGTTAAACTGCTGATTTGCTGAACTTGCTGACCAAAAGGTCCGTGATTCAAGTCCAGGGAGCGGGGAGAGTTCACGCTATTAGGCCTAGCTTCTGCCAAACTAGCAGTTCAAATGTGCCAATGTGAGTAAATAACTAGGTCCCCCTTCGGCGGGTAGGTAACTGCTCTCCATGCAGTCATGCCAGCCACATGACCTTGGAGGTGTCTATGGATGTCAGTTCTTCAGCTTAGAAACGGAGATGAGCACCACCCCCCAGAGTCGGACACGACTAGACTTAATGTCAAGGGGAAGCTTTTATTTTTACTTAATTGGTCTGTGGAGCAGCTTTACTTATGATAGTCAAAGATGCCTCTTTTTTCAGTACAGTTCTATTTTGATCTGATCTCTGCTGATGCCATTCTACTCTCTTGAGTTCATTGATTTGGTAATGTTGAGAATGGGTGGATATTGTTCCTGGCTTTTTAGCATCAGAATGCGATTACAGAATCAGTCTTCTGATTCTGTAATAGCACTCTTCTCTCAAAACAAGTCAACATAAGAAGTGACAAGGGGTTTTTACCTCTACTGATCTGGGTGCCTTGGTCTCATGCTTCTGAACCATTTTCATTCTGACAGAGTACCATACCTGGCTGTGGCTCGTACCTTTGAGTGGATTGAACAGGAGTCTGCCCGGTAAGATGCCTGAATAGAACCAACAGAATGGAGAGGGGAAACCAGTAGCACTCAATTCTGATCCCCAACCCAGACAACACCCTGTTGTTCTCTGTTCCCAGGTTGAAAATTATAGAAACTTTGAGCAATCTCTTTCGCTCAGTGATTGCCTTATCTCCTGAAGACCTGCTGCCCTGTGTCTACCTTTGTTTGAATCGGCTAGGCCCAGCATACGAGGGTCTAGAACTGGGTATTGGCAAAACCATCCTCATGAAAGCTTTGGCTCAGGCCACAGGTATGTTTGAGATACTTTTGGGCACAGAATCATAGATTTGGAAGAGACCTCGTGGGCCATCCAGTTCAACCCCCTGCCAAGAAGCAGGAAAGTGTCACTCAAAGCACCCCCAACAGATGGCCATCCAGCCTCTGCTTAAAAGCTTCCAAAGAAGAAGCTTCCACCACACTCTAAGGCAGAGAGTTCCACTTCTGAACAACTCTCACAATCAGGAAGTTCTTCCTACTGTTCAGGTGAAATCTCCTTTCCTGTAGTTTGAAGCCATTGTTCTGCATCCTAATCTCCAGGGCGGCAGAAAACAAGCCTGGTCTGTCATCCCTATGACTTCCTTTACTCAAGTATACGCTGAGTTTTTCATCCCTTTTTAGGGCTGAAGCTTATACTGAGATGAGGGTCCTGGTTGGCTTATATTCGAGTCAGCGTATATTCGGGTCGGCTTATACTTGAGTATATAGGTAAACATAGTTGGACAGTCTTATCTTAAATTACAGTTTTAATATTCAAAATATCAGATATTCAAAAACATTTAACGTACTGATGCCTCAATTAATGTTATTTTATTGGTATCTGTTTTTATTTTCATTATTGAAATTTACCAGCAGCTGCTGCATTTCCCACCCTCGTCTTATACTCGAGTGAATAAGTTTTCCCGGATTTTGTGGTAAAATTAGGTGCCTCAGCTTATATTTGGGTCAGCTTATACTCGAGTATATATGGTACTTTAAAATGGGTGCCTCAGTCTTTAGAATGTCATAGTCAAGGAAAGCATAGCATTTTGGGGGTTAATAACCATTTGATCTTTCTTCAGGTCGGCAGCTGGATCAGATCAAGGCAGAGGCAGCTGAGAAAGGAGATCTGGGATTAGTTGCTGAAAGCAGCCGTACCACACAAGGCACCATGTTTGCCCCACCGAAGCTTGGTGCTGCTGCAGTTTTTGGCAAACTGCAAGCAATTGGGCGCATGATGGGAAGCTCTGTAAGTAATGGGTGAGTGGGCATTGAAGGTCACAGAGCAGAGTCAAGAGGGTGCCATTGGGATGTCAGGGAACAGGGCAAGGCCAGGGTCAGGCAAACATCAATGCAGCAATGTTAATGTTGCCGCCTACTTGGTACAACATACCAGACATTATCTTTTCAATATAGTTTAATTTTATATTAGTCCAGAGATGTCCAAATCAAGCTGAAGTTGATAGTTCTGAGTTTTGGTTCTTCTCACAACATTGACCCTCTCCTGCCGATCATTGGAGAGCTCTGTGCTACCATTAGAACAGTAGAGGACAGAATTGCACAAATTTCTTCTTGAACCCCCTGAGAATGTCATATATTTTTGGGAAAATCTTTGTTGTGAGTGTTGTTGCTATCTTTATCTAACTCTTCAAAAAAAAAACGCTTTAGATTATTCTTCCATCTCCCTAGCCCCTAAGAATATAGAAGACACACATTTCTATTTCTTTCCCTTTTAGGCCATGAACAAGAAAATCGATATAATCAAGTCCTTGTTTGTTGCTTGTCGCCACTCAGAGGCTCGTTACATTGCTCGGTAAGTAGAACCCTACTGTTGCTAACTGTGTCCCTTCTTCTTTTTTCCCCCTCAACAATTCCATTTAGATTCTTAGATACCTTCCCATCTTCACAGACTTCCTAAAAGTAAATTGTTATGGTTATGGCTCCTACATTCCTGCAGCAAGGAAGGCAAATCGTATTTTAGTCTGCATTAATAGAAGCATAGTTTCCAAGTCAAGTAATAGACCTACAATATTCTGTACTAATCAGGCCCCATCTGGACTATTATGTTCAATTCTGGATGTCTGATTTTAAGAAGGAGCCAGGTTCAAAGAAGGCCAGTGAGGATGATTTATTTATTTATCATGTCAGAAGCTAATTGAGGGTACAGTTAACATGTATTTAAAACACAAACAAAGTTAAAAACTTGCCATTGTGCTAAATTTCCTTTGACCAGAAGCTGGCCACTTGGGGTGCCCCTGGTGTCACTGTAAGAAGGTCCACCATTTTGTATGTGGGAGAGCTTGGGCTGTATTGTAGTAGGTAATCTGTGGTTTGCTCTCCTCCTCATTCACATTGGACTAAATGGCACATGAGGCCACTTCCAACTCTAAGACTCTGTTTTCCCTAATTGTCAACTCTGTCCATGAAATGAGGTGGGCTTTTCAGGGTTTTTTGTTTTGTTTTTATTTCAGATCATTGGAAGGGAAGCTGCGGATTGGTTTAGCAGAACAATCTGTCCTGTCAGCTCTGGCCCAGGCAGCATCACTCACTCCTCCAGGACAAAGTGAGTAAATGATGAAGCCAAGGGATCACTTGCTTCTGAAAAATGTGGAATTTCTAGACCAAGATGGCAAGAACAGAAGGATGGGAAAACTAAGATTTGCTAGACTTTCTACTGAAAGAGAGGGTGGTTGCTATGAAATAGAAATATAAAGCTGTAAAAGGCTCTGTTACTGTTATGTGCCCACAATCATAAGGAGTGTTCCTGTCAAGATTTGTACAGAAGGTATTTGCCTTTACCCTCATCTGGGGCTGAGAGAGTGTCTTCCCAAATTCACCAGTGGAATTCCATGCCTGAGCAAGGATTTAAGCCCTGCTTTTCAGAACCATAGTCCAGCACTCAAACTACTACCCATGCTGGTTCTATAGTTTGCATTTCCAAGTTTCCTTAGTATTGAGCAAATGCGGGTGCTAAAAATGTGCCTTTTTCATTACTAACTGGGGTACTCATTAATAGATTCTGTATTATTAAGCTGAAAATTTGAATGCACAAAATATCTACATCCTAGCTGCACAGAGACCCTGACACTTTATATGTAAACAACCTGCTATGCCTATATTTCTCCTTCTATAGAATTTCCCACAGAAATTCTGGATGCTTCAAAAGGCAAATCTGCAGAGGCCCGCAAATCCTGGCTAGATGAGAGAGCCTTGATTGTTAAGCAAGCCTTCTGGTGAGTAACTCCCTACTTCATGACCTGTGCTAACGTTTTCCTATTTGTGACCAGGAGTCTTATCGTAGACCGAGAAAATAAATTTCTGAGTTTAGGAAAATCTGACCTTGTATTCAGCCGTGAAAATGTGGATCTTTTCAGCTAGATCAAGCTTCCAGTGGGTAGGAGGAGGGAATAATGCTCTTATACCCACTATTTATTAGATTGTTATCGATATCCTCCCCTTTGGAAAATAGGCACAAGTCCTATTTGCATTTTTTCCTGCATTTGCCTAGGTAAAGGTTTCTCCTGACATTAAGTCTAGTCATGTCTGACTCAGTGGGGGAGGTGCTCATCTTAATTTCTAAGCTGAAGAGCTGATGTTGTCCATAGACACCTCCAAGGTCATGTGGCCAGCATGACTGCATGGAGCGCCATTACCTTCCTGCCAAAATGGTACCTATTGATCTACTCACATTTGCATGTTTTTGAACTGCTAGGTTGAAAAGTTCAGCAGCTCAGTGGTTTAACCTGCTGACCCCCAGGGGCCCCCATGCATTTGCCTAGCTCTTTCTTAATCTGAATTCAAGACGTGCCAAGGTGATCAGATAGATAGCGTTAGGAAACATTATCAGAGTGGATCTAGGCAGGAGAGCAGTGGCAGATATTTGTTAAGAGCTCGACTTGGATTTGTATTTTCTAAGTACCCACAGTTCAGGGAGCCTTTGGCTTAGAATGCGGGTAGCCATCCCTGAAAGTCTAGAGGGCTATTTTAACACTCTACAGGGGACTGGACAGTCACCTGTCCCTGCCAAACATTATTTTTGTCCCCAAATGCCCTCTAAGCCCTTTTTAGACCCCTTTTAGACCTAGGGGAACTTCCTGTTTTAGGAAAAGGATTTTCCTGTGACTGAAATGATCCAGGAAGGCAAAAATGGTAAAATGTCTTCCACGTCCCCTAGAACAGTGTTTCTCAATCTAGGGGTTCGGACCCCTGGGAGGGCACAAGGGAGGTTTCAGAGGGGTCGCCAAAGACTATCAGAAAACACATATTTCTGATGGTCTTAGGAACCCCTTTCACAGAGAAGGCTGAAGATCTCTCCGCCTATCCTTCTCTTCCTTTTTGGAAGCAGACGGCGAATCCTCCCACCAAAAGCCCTAATCCTGCTGTGATTGGCTGGCCTCTCAGCCAAGGGGAAGGCTGTTTCTGAGACTCCAAGTGGGGAGGGTGTGCTCTCTCCTAAATCACTGTCAATTCCTCCCAAATCCCTCCAATATTTTCTGTTGGTCATGGGGGTTCTATGTGGGAAGTTTGGCCCAATTCTATCATTGGTGGGGTTCAAGGGGCTCTTTGATTGTAGGTGAACTATAAATCCCAGAAACAGCAACTTCCAAATGTCGAGGTCTATTTTCCCTAAACTCCACCAGTGTTCTCATTTGGACATATTGAGTATTCATGCCAAGTTTGTGTCACTCTGATAGTTTGGTCCAGATCCATCATTGTTGAGTCCACAGTGCTCTCTGGAGGTAGGTGAACTGCAACTCCAAAACTCAAGGTCAATGTCCACCAAACCCTTCCAGTATTTTCTGTTGGTCCTGAGCGTTCTGTATGCCAAGTTTGGTTCAATTCCATTGTCGGCGGAGTTCATAATGCTCTTTTGATTGTAGGTGAACTATAAATCCCAGCAAATACAACTCCCAAATGACAAAATCAACTCCCCAACTCCACCAGTATTCAAATTTAGGTATATCAGGTATTTGTGCCAAATTTGGTCCAGTGAATGAAAATACATCTTGCATATTGGATATTTACATTATGATTCGTAACAGTAGCAAAATTACAGTTATAAAATAGCAAGAAAAATAATGTTATGGTTGGGGGTCACCACAACATGAGGAAGTGTATTAAGAGGTCGCGGCATTGGGAAGGTTGAGAAACACTGACCTAGAACGAGGCAATTTCTTTGACTCCTGGAAACCACAAAAATGGCATGTTGTTCACTAGCTACACTTTGCCCATTCCTCACTTAGAAGGACCAGATCAAGCTGTTCCCCTTCATTCTTGCTTGTTTGTTTTTTTCAGTGAGCTGCCAAATTATGACATCATTGTGCCTGTCCTCCTAGAGCACGGTGTGAAGAGCCTGCCTCTGCATTGCAAAATCACACCAGGTACCTGCAGTATTTCTTCAGAAGGATGGCATTCAATACAACAGGAGTATCTTGTTTATGCCATGCTAGTCCCTGCTTCCTATAACTATTTATCTTGTGTAGTTCTGTAAGTGCAACCTATACACATGAAACATTATCTAGCACAGAACACAGATTTCTACAAAACTCAGACTTTAATTCTTTTTATAAAGAGCAATCCATTTTTATAAGTCTTTATTTTAAAGTACAGGCTCCAATAAAGCCTGATTTTTCTTTGTCACAGATGACTATGTGACTACCTTTTCTTAATTATCCACCTTTTCTTTGTGTTGTTATTTTACACAATAATTCAGATGTGTGCCCACATGCAGATGTTGGCTTGGGTATAAAACATGTAGATTTGACATATTTATGCATAATTATATTGTACACTAGCTGTCCTCTGGCACGCATTGCTGTGGCCCAATTTGTGTATATGTTATTTGTGTGTGTATATATGTGTGTATATATTTGTGTATATGTGTGTTTTTGCGCATGCATTGTAATGTATTTTTTGTTTTGTTTTTTGGCTTTTAAAGTCTCTTCCACTGTGTTTTTCAGTGTTTTTATGAGTGATGGTCAGCCATTGGCCTGATAGGTGTATTGTGTCTAAACTTGATGTCAATTCCTCCAGTGGTTTTTGAGTTATGCTAATTCCACAAACTAACATTACATTTTTATTTATATAGACTAGCCATCCCCTGCCACACATTGCTGTGGCCCAGTCTGTGTGTATGTGTTGTGTATGTGTAAATAAATATGTGTTCATATGTAGCTTTGCGCATGCGTTGTAACATATTTTTTAAATTTTTTGGCTTTTTAAGTGTCTTCCACTGTGTTTTTCAGTGTTTTTATAAATGAAGGACACTCATTAGCCTAATATGTGTCTTGTGTCCAAATTCGGTGTCAATTCATCCAGTGGTTTTTGAGTTAATCCCACAAACTAACATTACATTTTTATTTATATAGATTATCAAATGTGTTTTGATAATGTTGTGTGTCTGTGTGTGTGTGTTTGATACATATATGTATACAGTATACTGAAAGTATGTTTCAGACTCTGGAGGATCTTGGAGTTAAAATCAAGCTCACGACAATAAAACGCTGGAGACAATTGATTTATTCCTTCATTCCACAAACCTAAAAAGACAGTTCTAAAGTTTGCCTGCTCAAACTTCCTCAAACTTCATCAGCCCCTGCTCCCATCCGCCCCCTAGTGGCTAAACACTATGCCCACAGTCTGTTAACTGCAGTTTCAATATCTACACCGCCTTCCCCAACTGTACCCAGCCTCCTTCCTCCACCTCCCTTCTTTATGGCAGAGAACCGAAGCAGCCATATGGTGATCCTGACAGTATGTGTGTAAATATATAGATTTTGCATTTCAAAAACTAGAAAACTCTTTACTGAGATATAGAAAGTGGTAAGGAAATGTTGGGGTTTTTTTCTTGCACATTTCTTCCTAATCAGTATTATAAGTATTCCTTCAATTTCCTAAATTGGGAGCAATTGTCTTCGTTTTAATGATACAGAGATTTATTTATCTCTGAGAATACAGTTATAATGTTGTTGTTTATTTAAAAAAACCCACAAACAACGTTAAAAACTTGGCATTATGCTAAATTTCCTTTGACCAGTAGCTGTCCACTTGGAGTGCCTCTGGTGTCACTATAAGAAGGTCCTCCATTGTGCATGTGGCAGGGCTCAGGCTGCATTGTAATAGCTGGCCTGTAGTTTGCTCTTCTCCACACTCATATGCTATAGGCTCCATTTCTTAAGGTAGGCTCTGCTTCTCGTGGTGCCAGAGTCCAGTCTGTTCAGTGTCTTCCAAGTCACTCAGTCTTCTGTGACCCCAGGGGAGAGTCTCTCATCCGGTCTCAACCATTGATTGAGGTTCTGGGCCTTAACCTGCCACTTTTGGACTCTTACTTGCTGAGATGTTTCTGCGAGTATCTCTGTAGATCTAAGGAAGCTATTTCTTGAGATACAGAGATGAATAGTTAATACAAATTATAGTTGTGCATATTTTCTCCCACAGGAATCCCCTTGAAGCCCATGTTGGCTCATCCAACAAAAGGAATTGGAGAAGTATTAAAGCGTTTTGAAGAAGCCGCTTTTACCTGTGAATATAAATATGATGGGGAGCGAGCACAGGTAAGGATGCTTCAACTTTATACCTGGGTCCCCTTCTACGCTGCCATATAATGGATTATGTTATTTTAATGATAATATTAATATGTTTTTAACTCCAGGTTTTAATGTTTAAATGGTGTTATGTTTTTTGATCTCATCGATAGCTATGTTATTGTTGTTATATGTTAGGTAGAGGTAAAGGTTTTTCCCTGACATTAAATCCAGTGATGTCCGACTCTGGGGGTTGGTGCTCATCTCCATTCCTAAGCCAAGGAGCCGGAGTTGTCCGTAGACACCTCCAAGTTCGTGGCCAGCATGACTGCATGCAGCGCCGTTATGTTAGGTTCCATATGTATGTGAGGCATTAAATTTTGCCATAAATAAATGCCATGGAAACCGCTTTGAGTCTCCCACTGGAGTGAGAAAAGCAGTATACAAGTGAAGTAAATAAATATAAATAAAAAAATCCAGATTATCAAAGCAGATAATCCACATTATCTTCTCTGAACTAGATTATAAGAGTCTACACTGCCATATAATCCAGTTCAGAGTAGATTATCTGGATTTTATATGGCAGTGTAGAAGGAGCCTGAGTCTCAAGAGTGGATTTTCCTTCTTCACAGATCCACATCCTGGAGAACGGAGAAGTGCATATCTACAGCCGGAACCAAGAGAATAACACAACTAAATATCCTGATATTGTGAGCCGTATCCCCAAGGTACAGCGGCTTTTGGAAATGTAGAATCATTTGTGAATAGATAAAGTTGATAAAGCCCTCCCTCTGTTAGGGAGCAGTTGTTATGCAGAGGTTGGGATAAAGTGAAACTTGGGTAACCTGAGCCCTCATGATTTTGCAGGTAAAAAAGAGCACTGTAGAGTCATGTATCTTGGATGCAGAAGCTGTGGCCTGGGATCCTGATTCCAAACAGATCCAGCCATTCCAAGTGCTGACTACCCGGAAGCGTAAAGTAAGCTGGATTGTTTTGCTGGATTTAAAGGGCTTCCTGCCCAGCATCACTTTTGTTTGATTCTTCCTTTCTTATGGGATACAACACAACTGGAATAAAATGGGTTATCCATAGGTAGATGAAGTAGGAGGATTTTTTGTAGCTTCGACAACACTGGCCAGCACAGATTTTGGGGCTTCAAACGTTAGACTTGCTTCTGGGTATAATTGATATGTTGGATTCCAAAAATGACGCCGGATTCCCTCTATCCACCCAATTTTTTGAGATACAGAACATATGCCCTATACGAGTCACCATCTGCTCACTCATAAAGAATCGTAATAAACATATCTAAGAAATTAGAGCTGATGCAGTCTATCCAATGCAATTTTCTGAATCAGCACCCCAAAAAACCCCAGGAACTGACCTAAAAATTAAGACATCAAGAAAAAAAATAGTTGGGCTGTGTAATAGGTAGTGTATTGTTTACTAACAAATTGTGGACATTTAGAAGGAGAACTAGCAGTACTTCACTTGCAACTGGGTTGCTGTGAGTTTTCCAGGCTGTATGGCCATGTTCCAGAAGCAGTCTCTCCTGATGTTTCACCCACATTTATTGCAGGCATCCTCAGAGGTTGTGAGGTCTGTTGGAAACGAGGCAAGTGGGGTTTATATATCTGTGGAATGTCCAGGGTAGGAGAAATAACTCTTGTCTGCTTGAGGCAAGTGTGAATGTTGCAATTGGGCAGCTCGATTAGCATTTAATGGCCTTGAAGCTTCAAAGCCTGGCTGCTTTCTGCCTGGGGATCCCTTATTGGGAGGTATTAGCTGTCCCTGATTGTTTCCTGTCTGAAATCCGCCTGCTTTTTAGTGTTGCTCTTTATTTACCATCCTGATTTTAGAGTTTTTCATACTGGTAGCCAGATTTTGTTCATTTTCATTGTTTCCTCCTTTCTGTTTAAATTGTCCACATGCTTGTTCTACAGAAAGGAGGAAACAATGAAAAGGAGCAAAATCTGACTACAGTATTTAAAAACTGTAGAAACCGGAACAGTAAATAAAGAGCAACTCAAAAGTAGTGAAAATCTAGACAAATCTGGCTATCAGTATTTTATAACTCTAAAATCAGGAGAGTAAATAAAAAGCAACTCAAAAGCAGGGGAATTCTAGACAAGAATAAATCAGGGCCAGCTAACACCTCCCAAGCAGCAACTAGCCAGGCTTTGAAGCTGCACGGCCATTCAATGCTAATCAATCTGGTCAATTGCAACATTCGTACTTGCCTCTAACAGACAAGAATTCTTTCTCCCACTCTGGACATTCCTCAGATATATAAACCTCACTTGTCAAGTTTCCAACAGACGTCACAACCTCTGAGGATGCCTGCCATAGATGTGGGCAAAATGTCAGGAGGGAATGCTTCTGGAACGTGGCTATACAACCTGGAAAACTCACAGCAACCCAGTGATTCTGGCCATGAAAGCCTTTGACAACTCACTGGCAACTATTCGCTGGAAAGTGTGAAAATATAAACATTCTTTGGGGAAGACAAAAGCCAGAACAGTTTTCCAATGTCAATCTCTCCTTAAGGCCACCATTTTCCTTCCAGGATGTGGATGCTGAAGATATCAGAGTGCAGGTCTGCGTATATGCATTTGACATGCTCTACCTCAATGGCCAGGTAAGTGTCCTGGTTTGATGCTCTTATTCAGCACATCACTATTCAACACCATTCACCCTGCATTGTTTACAGTTGTTTTCCAATTGCCCTGCCTTATTCCCTGTTCTTTGCCTGCCTGTTAAATGAGTAATTTTGTGTCCTTTTAGTCTCTGGTACGAGAGCCCTTATCCCAGCGCCGGACCCTACTGCGGGATTCCTTCACTGAGGTTGAAGGTCAATTCCTCTTTGCCACATCCATGGACACAAGTAACACAGACGAGATAGCAGAGTTCCTGGAACGCTCCATCAAAGGTAAATAGCCATTATTTGATTGGGTTTCCCCAGTGTGTGTAATATTTCTTAAGACCAGGCATCTTTTGAGTTCCAGCCTTGTAGTTGTGCAATATAGTAATGCTCAGGATACTGGATTAGGACATAAGACCATATAGGTTTAAATGACACAGATTTAGCTACATTCTACATCAGGCATGGGCAAACTTCGGCCCTCCAGGTGTTTTGGACTTCACCTCCTACAATTCCAGTTACTTAGGCGATCCTTTGTTGTCCGAGTAGGATAGTCTTCCAAGGTCAGTGGTCTGTAGGTGACTGTGGAGCCCTATTCTTGATCTACATCTTCTCCTGCAGTGAGAATATTGGCTTCCAGGTGGAAGGCAGTCTCGGTCGGGACTGGCTTGACACACCTTCCTCTTGGCACATTTCTCTCTTTCACCCTCCATTTGTGCCTCTTCAAATTCTGCAGCACTGCTGGTCATAGCTGACCTCCAGCTGGAGCGCTCAAGGGCCAGGGCTTCCCAGTTCTTAGTGTCTATGCCAGAGTTTGTAAGGTTGGCTTTGAGCCCATCTTTAAATCTCTTTTCCTGCCCACCAACATACTGTATTCCATTCTTGAATTCGGAGTAGAGCAACTGCTTTGGGAGACAGTGGTCAGGCATCAGGACAACATGGCCGGTCCAGCAGAGTTGATGGCGGAGGGCCATCGCTTCAATGCTGGTGGTCTTTGCTTCTTCCAGCACTCTAGCATTTGTCCGTTTGTCTTCCCAAGAGATTTGCAGGATTTTCCGGCAGCAACGCTGATGGAATCGTTCCAGTAGGATTTGTGAGAGCTGAGTGTTGGAAATAGCAATACCTCAAGCCTTTCACAATTCATTTGTTAATGTATATATTTGCTAAATACCTTCTGCAAACCTAGCAGTTCGAAAACATACAAATGTGAGTAGATCAATAGGTACCACTCCGGCAGGAAGGTAACGGCGCTCCATGCAGTCATGACTTTGGAGGTGTCTATGGACAACGGCGGCTCTTCGGCTTAGAAACGGAGATGAGCACCAGTCCTCAGAGTCAGACACGACTGGACTTAATGTCAAGGGAAAACCTTTACCGCTACTATTCTATGCTGACTTCTAACAAGGTCATGCTTTTCTTGACTAGTGGTTTTCAAAAGGTGGTCTCCACATGTTCATAGAGATTCACATTTGTCAAATGGATATGACATCATTTTTCCTTTTTCAATAAGTTATGATTGCCATTTATTTCCAAAAGGATATTTCCCAAGAGACTGTGTGCTCTTATTGGCAATACTGAAGTCCAAAGAATTATGGGAGTTGAAGTCCAACACACCTCAAGGGGAGAAGTTTGCCCATGCCTGTTCTACATAGTATTTGGATGGAGAAAAACAGAGATATAGTGTATTCTACCTTAAACTCCTTGAGTAAGGAAGCAGGATTAATGACCTGCTTTATGGGATGAGCTACTAATAAGATAACTTGTCTCCCTCAGACTCTTGTGAGGGGCTAATGGTAAAAACATTGGAAGTGGATGCCACATATGAAATTGCAAAGAGATCCCACAACTGGCTGAAGGTAAGAATGTAGTGCTTCTTCAGCATCTTGCAATGCCATCTGACAGAACAATGTGGATTGAGCTATAATAACATAAGGAGAAATGAAGTAGTGTCTCCTTCTTTCCACTGATTGACTTAAGTTGAGGGAGGGAAGGAGAAGGTAAATTATTTTTCTTATTTATTGGTTTGAGTAAAATGGCCATAATGAGTTACAATGACATAAACAATCATAAATAACAGTGTGTTTGGTTCCCATAGATAATAGTATCAAAGTTTGCATTATTTAGAAAATCTCAAAACAAATTGCTTTTACTTAGACAGGTTTGATTGATTGATTGATTGATTGATTGATTTACTATATTTATACCCCAACCTCGCCCTAAAGGGGACTCAGAGCAGCTTGCAAGTTATATGTACATAAAATATGTTATATTATTAGCATAGCACAATATTCGTATTATATATTACTATTGCTGTTTTAAATTGTTTTAAATTGTTTTTAAATTGTGTTTGATTTTAGCCTGTTCTTGTAAGCCGCTCTGAGCCCCAGGGGAGTGGCAGCATATAAGTTCGAATAATAAATAAATAAATAAATATACAGTATTATACCACTATACCAATATTATTAGTAATATATGTAATATATTATTATTATATTATTATATTGTATTATTATTAGTATTACACCAGAAGCGACTTGCAGTCTCTCAAGTTGCTCCTGACATGACAAAAACTAATTAGTATTATATTGTATTACAATATTATGATCAGTAATATATATGTACGTACAATATATTATTAACATAGTACCATACTAGTATTATATATTATATTGTACTATACCACTATACTGCAATATTATTAGTAATATTACATGTAATATATAATATACAATTATTATATTGTATTATTATTAGTATTATGTTGTATTACATCATAATATTATTATCACTATTATATGTATATACAATATATTACATTTTTGACATAGCACAATATTTAGTATTATGTATTATTATATTGTAAATACCACTATACTGCAATATTATTAGTAATATTACATGTAATATATAATATACAATTATTATATTGTATTATTATTAGTATATTATTATATTGTATTATTATTATGCTTTAGTATTATATTGTATTTTTAGTATTATATTGCATTACATCATAATATTATTGTCACTATTATATGTATATACAATATATTACATTTTTGACAGCACAATATTTAGTATTATGTATTATTATATTGTAAATACCACTATACTGCATTATTAGTAATATTACATATAATATATAATACACAATTATTATGTTGTATTACATTATAATAACATTATCAATATTATATGTATATACAATATATTACATTTTTGACATGGCACAATATTAGTATTATGTATTATATTGTAAATACCACTGTACTGCAATATTATTAGTAATATTACATGTAATATATAATATACGATTATTATATTGCGTTACGATTAGTATTGTATTATATTATATTACATTATAATATTATCAATATTATATGTATATGCAATATATTATATTATTATTGCATATACATATAATATTGATAATAATATTATAATGTAATATAATATGTTACTGTTTACTGTTTATATGTGATTTATATTAATTGTATTGTATTTATTGTTTTGTTTATTGCTTTTGTTTATTGATGTACTGTTGGGCTTAGCCTCATGTAAGCCGCTCTGAGTCCCTTGGGGAGATGGTGGCGGGGTATAAATAAAGTATTATTATTATTATTATTATTATTATTATTATTATTATTAGCATAGCACTATATTAGCATCATATATTACTCTATTCTTGCTGCGGGGAAGAAACTCCCAACTGATGACACAGGAGACATGGTGGAACTGTGTTTTCCTTCATTTAATTCATGGTAATTTTGTTCTCTATACTAGCTGAAAAAAGATTATCTGGATGGTGTGGGGGACACTCTGGACCTTGTGGTGATTGGCGCCTACTTGGGGAAGGGAAAGCGTGCAGGCGCCTATGGCGGCTTCCTCCTGGCTTGTTATGATGATGAAAGCGAGGAGTTCCAGAGCATCTGCAAGGTAATGATCCACAGGCTTCAAGTAAACTGGGCTTCTCCCACCAGACAGGTTTAGACTTCATGTTAGCATCATGGTCAAACATTAACAGTCGTTCAGTGCTATAAGAGGGCTAACTTGCATAAATGACCTTGTATATTTTTTGCGCTTGCTTTGCACTTTGAGATTGGAAACAATATGAAAATTGAGAACAGATAAGGGAGTGGATTTTTCTCTCTTGTGAACCTGGCTTGGAGAATTCTCTATGTTGCAGGAGACAGGTCACATTTGTACACTTCGACTTCATTTGCATTTGCACCATAAAAACCCTGGGAGTGGTTTCAAAATGCTGTTAACCCCAGAGCAGTTGTCAGGGGCATTTGGAAGCTTTCTGTATCTTTGGAGAATGTAGTACAGCCTACATGATCTGAACCTACAAAATTAGGGGCTTTCATTTTGTCCTTGGTGCAAGGTTTGGAAGGAAAAAAACAAAGACCAGTTTTTCTACCAAAATTTTGGAATAAAATAAAATAAAATAAGTGGCTCATGCATTTCTACTATTGTTTGCCTTGTGATGCAGTAATAGCTATTTACTTTTTCACTGTCATCCCTCTGCCTGTTGTTAGATTGGCACTGGATTTACAGATGAGGACCTCGAGAAACTTCATACCTCTCTTAAGGTAGGAGGAACTTCTTTCTGTTCAGCCAAGGCATTGATCTACTCTGAGCAGAGGAACAGAAGACGTGTATGCTTTCTCTCCTCCAGTATTTCTTTCACAGGAAATGTCTGTAGATCAGTGTTTCTCAACCTTCCTAATGCCGCGACCCCTTAATACAGTTTCTCATGTTGTGGTGACCCCCAGCCATGACGTTATTTTTGTTGCTACTTCATAACAGTAATTTTGCTATTGTTATGAATCGTAATGTAAATATCTGATATGCAGGTTTTTTTTTCATTCACTAGACCAAATTTGGCACAAATACCTGAATCACCCCAATTTGAATACTGGCGGGGTTGGGGGGATTGATTTTGTCAATTGAGAGTTGTAGTTGCTGGTTACCTGTAGCACTAACCAGCTGTCCTCCATTCTGCAAGAGAAATCACTTCTGACTGTCTTGCTCCAAAGATAAGACTGCCCTCACCCTGATCAGCCAAGAGGAAGAACCATGCCGTATTGAGCAAACAATCAGTATTCTGATCCCATTCGCGCAAACTTCATCCCTCTAGGTGTTTTGGACTTCAACTCCCACAATTGCTAATAACCAGTAGACTGTTAGGAATTGTGGGAGTTGAAGTCCAAAACACCTGGAGGGCCAAAGTTTACCCATGCATGTTAATACTAAGGGCCCATCCAGACAGTACCTTTATTCCAGGAGCTTCCGCACCACACAGGAGGGTGGCCAGAAGCCATTCCCTGTAAACCCTGAAGCAATAATTACAAAAGGCAAAAAATGCGAGATTTCCAGGTGCGGGAATATCGCAGTTTTGAGCCAGATATCTGGATCTTTGCATGTCTGTATGTCCTGCAATCGAAAATCATAGGATTTTTATCTGGTATTTGTTCCTGGGTTTTAGATGCTTGTTTCTGATAGGTTGGTTCCTAAAAAGAAGATGACTCTTGAGTAGAACGCGAAAACTTTGTTTGTGTGCCAGAAACTTCATGAAACGTGTGGAGGGCACATTTTCTCTGGCCAGGAGAAAGTTGTGCCCCCCCTAGTCAATGTTGTACATTTTTCACAAGAATAGTAACCAGGAACATCCGTGTATAAATGAGGAACAGCACCCTGTTGTTAGATGCCACAAGTACACAAGCAAATCTGTCTGGACAGATGGCCAGGCTCTAAAAACAATAGAAAATGTCAAAGTTCTGTTCCTGGCTTAAAAGTGTGTGTTCCTTCTTTCAATGTGTAGTGCTAACTTTGTTTGTGTGCCACAAAATTTATGAAGTGTGTGGAGGGCACAGTTTCTCTGGCCTCCATATAAAATGGAACTTTTGCAGTGATCCGCATGACCGAATCTGCAGATATCCGCATCTCACGGGTTTTTTTAAAAACTGCCGGTTTCCGGCAGAAGTCCCATGGTGGCCCTCTTGGGTGTCTCTAAATCTCAGAACAAAGCATCAAGTCTGGATAACGGAGGCAGAAATCCCGGGACCAACAGGTCCGTATGTGGACCTCTCCTGAAGTGCTGGGATTTTTTGCTCCTCACTAAAACCTGTGATTTAGTGCTGTCTGGAAGCACCCTAAAATGTTTTAATTTTTAATCTAATTGTTTATTTTATTTGACTGTCATGGCATTGAATTGTTGCCTGTCTGTAAGGCCACTCCAAGTCCCCTTCGGGGGGAGAAGGACAGGTTTTAAATATGATAACTAAATAAATGCCTCCATTAGACTGATCCTTGACATGCAAATGTTGACATTCATCCTAGCCTCTATATTGCAGGACCATGTGATCCCACAGCCACGGCCATATTACCGCTGGGGTGGCACAGCGGAGCCTGACCACTGGCTGGAGGCACAGCATGTCTGGGAAGTGAAGTGTGCTGACTTGTCCATTTCTCCCGTCCACAGAGCAGCAGTTGGATTGGTGAGTGAATGATAGCTGCTGGAAAGTCTGTGTGAGAAAATGAAAAAGTAGAGGTTTGCGATGTATACACTCATAGTTGTCTGCAGGATGGATGTTTGCATAAATATTATCACTTAGCCTAATAATAATAATAATAATAATAATAATAATAATAATAATAATAATAATGGCTAAGACCTTGAGGCAATGCACAAACAACCAAAAGTATTACATTTTGAGCGTCCTTTATCTGAAATGTTTGGGACCAAATGTTTTTGGTTTGTGATTTGTTGGGGTTTCTTTTGTTACATGCTAAATGAGAGGCAATGGGGTAAGAGGTTTAGCCACACATCCAGTGTTCCCTCGGTCCTCCCCCCCCCGGCGCCCTCCCTCCCCTGTTTCTTGTCTCTGGGATGCATTTCAAGAGTGGCTTGTCCAACTGTTCAGGGTTTTCCTTCTTTTTATAGCAGTTCCCCCATATGTTGTCGCATTCCAGATCAAAATCTGTTCGGCAGAAATGAACGTGCCACTTTCCCGGATACTTGGCATTCCTTTTAATAGTCATACAGCCCAGAAAACACACAACAACCCAGCCCCTAGAATCATAGAGTTGGAAGAGGCCTTGATGGCCATTCATTCCAAGAAGCAGGAAAATTGCGTTCAAAGCACCCCTGACAGATGGCCATCCAGCCTCTGTTTTAAAGCCTCCAAAGAAGGGAGACTCCACCACATTCCGAGGCAGAGAGTTCCAGTGCTGAACAGCTCTCACAGTCAGGAAGTTCTTTCTAATGTTCAGGTCGAATTTCCTTTCCTATAGTTTGAAGCCATTGTTTAGTTTGATTCCATAGAGTTGGAAAAGACCTTGTGGGCCATGCAGTCCAACCCGCTGCCAAGAAGCAGGAAAATCACATTCATCACTGCCAGAAACTTAATGGAGGAAAGAGACAATTGGGGGGGGGGGGGGCATGATTTACATAAGGCCCCTACAAAAACCAGATCTCCCAAATGTTTCCCCTACTATCAGCATATGTTCCGCCAAAGTAACTAGGAAGTCAAGAGGAAATCCCCCCACCCACACACACACACATCATGTTCCCTGATTAGCTAGTTTGCAGACAATGTCTGCTCAGAAGAGGGGTGGGATAGAAAACTGGCATGTTTGATGGCAAATGGGGTGTTGAATGACCCATCCCAACTTCATAGCCAACTTGTCTATCACCTGCAGGTGGATGAAGAGAAGGGCATCTCGCTGCGCTTCCCCAGATTCCTACGCCTCCGAGATGATAAGAAACCAGAGGAAGCCACTAGCAGCGCTCAGGTACAGAACAAGGGAGGACATTATATATATATACGGTGTTACGGTGGGGAGGAATGTGACAGTTTCTGTCTCTTTGTGGAGTGTAGAGAAATTTAAAATTCCTACTTTTCTTGAGCATATTGTTCACCCACTTTCCATGTTTCAAGAAACCCTTTAATGTTGTCCCCTTTTGTTGTTGTTGTTGTTTGTTTTATGCTCATTTGTTTTCTTAAAATTTCAATAAAAAATTAGTTTAAAAAAAAGGCTTGTCAAGGGGGAGGAAGGGGATCCCCTTCAGTCCTTCTTGTGAATTGATAATGGCGAACAATTGGCCTTGCTTGGTTTGAAATGAATTTAGTCCATAAGGATTTTAGGAACTAGAACAGCGAAACCCTGAGGTGATAAGGAATTTTAGCAGGTAAAGGTTTCCCTTTGACATTAAGTCTAGTCATGTCTGACTCTGGAGGGTGTCAGACAAAGAGTCAGAGTTGTCCATAGACACCTCCAAGGTCATGTGACTGGCATAACTGCATAGAGCGCCGTTTCTTTCCTGCAGAAGCAGTACCTATTGATTTACTCACATCTGCATGTTTTCGAACTGCTAGGATGGCAGAAGCTGAGGCTAACAGTGGGAGCTCATCCCGCTCCTCAGGTTTGAACTGTTAATCTTTCAGTTAGCAAGTTCAGCAGTTCAGCAGTTCAACCCACTGTGCCACCATGCCCTCCACAAGGGCATTCATTCCATACTGTTAATGCACCAAGTGAAGGGTATGGACCTTGGAAAACTATGACTCCCAGGACTTCACAGCATGGAGACATGGCATAATGATGGTGGTGGTGGTATTTAAAATGGGTCTCAACTGCATTTATTCTACAGTGTAGATGTACCCAAAAGGGTATGGACCTTGGGAAACTATAACTCCCAGGAGGACACCATTGCATGGAGCCATGGCATTTGAAGTGGGGTACAAGGGTATTCATAATAAAATTAAAGGTTACCCCTGACATTAAGCCTAGTCGTGTCCGACTCTGGTGGGTGGTGCTCATCTCCATTTCTGAGCTGAAGAGCCGGCATTGTCCTTAGACTCTTCCAAGGTCATGTAATCAGCATGACTGCATGGAGCGCTGTTACCTTCCCACCGGAGCGGTACCCATTGATCTCACATTTTTATGTTTTCGAACTGCTAGGATGGCAGAAGCTGTGGCTAACAGTGAGATCTGTTAGGAACAAGCCAAGAACAATAGTGCAGGACTAGTGGGTTAATGTGCAAGGGGAGAAACAACACCTCTCCATAATGTGTGTGTTTTTTTCTGGTTGCAGGTTGCTGAGCTGTACCGGAAACAGCAACAGATCCAGAATCAGCAGTCAGTGGAAAATGGAAACGATGATTTCTACTAGTGTTTCTGTTTGTCTTCTTAATGTGTTGTTGGTTTCTCCTGGACTGAACATAGAATTTTCCTGGTCTCTGAAAGATGCTCTTATGAATCTCCTCAGTCATTTTGTGGAGGGAGTGTATACTGAATCTAGTTCTGCTTTAATAAACTTTGTGAAAGTAACAGAAGTGTTACTACTGGCTTAGTTTGAAATGATTTCCTTAAATTTTGTAGTTTGAGGCATAGAAAGTGTTTAAAACAAATGTTTATTGGTGCATAATTGGAAAAGGTAGCGCAAGAAACAAGTGCTATGAAGTATACATACAAAAAAGCCACTTCTAATGTCAGAGACTTTGTTTTTCTCTGTTTGTGGGAAAGAGGGGATGTGCAATAGAGAAGTGAAAGAGGTCCTACCCTGATAAAAGTCTACATCAGAAATCTTGAGACCACCACCAAAGAGGGCAACCTTCTCCTTCAGGCCTTTCCATGGGATCCGTTCTACCTTTTACATACACAGAGTCCATCAGCCCCACAGCTCTGAATCACTCCTCTACCTACTAGGCCTGCCCTCCAAAGTATCATGCAAGATACTAACCCAACCGTTTCCCAAATTCTATTCCTACATGCTGGCTCTCTTCTTATCTACATCCATTGTCGCTCTGGCTCCTTGATGTTAGTCTTTTGGGGAAGAGAGAATTAAGGCACCGATCCTTGCATCTCAGGGGTGATGCGCAGGCGCTGGCTTCGTGCCTTGTAGACTTCGATGAGCAGGTCTTTCACATACTGGATTTCTCTCTCGATAGACTCTGCTTTTTCGCGCAGGTCACGGTTGCGTGCCTCAAGGAGCTGGCACTCATCCCCCAGCGCATCATGTTCAGCCCGCTTGCGCTGACGGTAGCGCAGGGCTGCTGTCTTGTTCTGGTCTCGCTTCTTCTGGCGCCGGTCCCCTTTGGGCGCTGGGGCAAGTGGCTCTTCGACTAGGACAGGGACTTCACTGCCCTGAAGTGGAAGCTCAGTTGGTGCATCCCTACCATAGAGATCCAACAACTCCAAGCAGCTTGAATCCAAGGTCTGCAGGGGAGCAGGTGTGCAGGGATGGTCCTGGGGTTGGAAACCATCAGCAAAGGGAAAGTGCAAGTTCCTATCAGAGGGAGAGGTGCTGGGTGCTACCTGTTCTGGTGAGAGTGACTCCTCCAAGAAATAATCCTCCGTCTGCTCCCACTCTTTCTTGAGGAGAGAGGTCATGGCCTCCAGGTCTGGAGCAGGAGGGGAGGGCAGTGAGAACAGTGAGGGCTCCTCTGACACACTCAGGAGCGTGGCCAGGTCTGTGCGCTCCATCATCCAGTCTGAGAAGCCATCGCCTAGAGACAAGTGAAGCAAAGCAAGCAAGAAACAATGAGATTGACCAGGAAAGTAGACCATGTCAACTTCTAAGCATGAGACTAGATGGACTGAGAGCCAAGAACCCTTCTATGTTGTGTGGTTCTAGGCCACTGGTACACATACAATCACAGAAGAGGCTATCTGCAAAATATAAAATCTAGACGGCTCGTGCCCAGATTATTTGACAGGCCACATCTACCACTATAGACCAACTCAAATACTGCGGTCATTGGAGGAGGCCCTCCTCTCGTTCCCAAGCACAGCTGGTGGGAACAAGATAAAGGGCCTTTTCCATGGTCACCCCCCCCCACACACACACACACACACCTCTGGAACTCCCTTCCTAAAGAGTTAAAGATGGTCCCTTCCCTCCCTGCCTTCAAGAAACAGCTGGAGATGTACCTTTGCTCACTGGCTTACGAGGAGTAGTTGAGTTGGTAATACTACCATTACACCTCTAATTAATAGCTACCATCCGTATCAGCACCCTGTTCACTCCACCAGCTCAATAGCTATCTTGAGCAATTATCAATCTATTTGCTTCCAAGGAATTGGGAAATTGATGCTTCTGTTCGATGTTTTGTCTTATGTCTGATATAACAGTCTTGTGTTTTTTATTTAATTTTAGTGGTTAAGTAATAATTTGTTTTTATATGTTGAGTTGCCAAATATCATTACTATGGATGTATTGTTGTTTTGTTCAATCATTGAATGTTTGCCTTTTATGTTTGGAATCTTCCCAAGTCCCTCTGGGGAGGTGGAATATAAATAGTGTTGTTGTTGTTGAAGAAATGGTTGAAAATAGAGTAAGAAAAAACCCACATGGATGGAAGAGAGATAAAAGATGGCTTCTAATGTGTCTAAATCCAGGGAAGTCATGCTAACCATCTACTCTGCTTTGGTGAGACCACACCTGGAATACTGTGTCCAATTCTGGGCATCACAATTGAAGGGAGATGTTGATAAGCTGGAATATGTCCAGGGGAGGGCAACTAAAATGATCAAGGGTCTGGAGAACAAGCCCTATGAGGAGCGGCTTAAAGAGCTGGGCTGAGAGGAGACATGATGAGGGACATGTATAAATATGTGAGGGGAAGTGATAGGGAGGAGAGAGCAAGCTTGTTTTCTGCTGCCCTGGAGACTAGGACAGAACAATGGCTTCAAACTACAGGAAAGGTGAATCCACCTGAACATTAGGAAGAACTTTCTGTGAGAGCTGTTCAGCAGTACAACTCTCTGCTCCAGAATGTGGTGGAGACTCCTTTGGAGGCTTTTAAGCAGTGGCTGGGTGGCCATCTGTCGGGGGTGCTTTGAATGCAATTTTCCTATTTCTTGGCAGGAGGCTGGACTGGATGGCCCACAAGGTCTCTTCCAACTCTATAATTCTAATGGCCCACCACCTATTGGATTGGAAACACTGACTATGCCAGCTAGGGCTAGTGGACTTCGCAGTCTACAACTACTTTGTAGTCTGGAAAGCTATAAATGAATCACCTCTCCCAATTTATAGGAAACTTAATCAGTCATTGGTTTCAAAACTGTCAGCTATTTGCCTTCCAGATGCCAAGGTATTGTTTACAAGTATCAGGTGTATAATACATCTATGTGTATCATACACATAGATGTGAATAAAAAAATATCTCAAGGGAAATAATATTGATTGAAACTGGTAGCTATTTGCCTTCCAGATGCCAAGGTATTGTTCGCAAATATGATACATCTATGTGTATCTGAATAAAAAATATCTCAGGGGGAATAATTTTAAGAAACCTGAGTTTAAAATAATTCCTAAGTTGATGCTTATGTTGCTAATGATGCTGCAGTTGAACAACTGAGCTCTATGCAAATGCTGGTTGCTCAAAGACACCAAGAGACCGCCTTGAACCAAGCAACTATCCCTCCCACCTTTAAGGGTCCAGCTCCTTGCATTTATTCACCTGTGAGCCTAGAAAGCTCCAAGTTGAGGGCAAAGCCCTCGTCTACAGGCCCGGCTAGCGGCTCACAATGACCGGCGTGGGGCAGCCGGTGCTTGAGCAGCTCCGGCCTGCAGGACATGCTGCTAGCTGGGATCATGGTCAGGTCGAGGTCTGGGTCCAAAGTCAATGCCGCCAGCAGGGACATGGTAGCGATTCCTCAAGGCAGGACTGGAACGTGGCAGGCAAGGAGTGGCTTGGCTCCTGCGGGCAGGGATGGCGGTGCTGGCAAAAGACCTGAAATAGTAAGACACCGAAAAATGGGTCATGGGTTTGTGCAGTTATCTCAGAAAGCAGCAAAAGGGACCAATCACGTTATACTTTGAGCTGAAGTCAATTTACCCATGATGAGGACACGGCCAGTTTTGTTCTGCTGGGAGACTTTAGCAAGCAACTTATGTGTGACAGGATTTGCAGAACAGGGCAGACCTCCTGTTGAGTATAGCTGGGGCACCTTCTCCCCCTCCCCATGGTTGATTCCAGGAGCAAAGCCATTGTCCAGATAGCCAGAGGGTGGGGGAGTTGTATGCAACACCTTCATGAGCAAAGGAGAGCCTGCTGCTCTCTAGATATTGAGGGATACTATTGTCCCTCCACGTTTGCAGATTGGATTATTCACAGGTTCACTCTGAACCTCTCGGTACCGTAGTGTGACTCTACAGTCAATTTCCTCTGGTTATGTTTATTTTGAAAGAGAACACCAACGTATATAAGCCCATAAACAGGTCCATGGAGTTGAAAATGGGCCAGGCTTTGGCACAGCGGGTTGAACCACCAGCTATAGAAAATCTTGCCAATCAGAAGGTTGGCGGTTCAGGCCCAGGTTGGGGTGAGCTCCCAACGTCAGCCCAGCTTCTGCCCGCCTAGTAGATTGAGGACAATAGTGTGAGTGGATAGATGGGTACTGCTTTTGGCAGGGAGGTAATAAAAGGCGCCTGTAAGAACATGCCGTGGATTCGATCCGCAGGAGACATCTATGTACAACAAAGCTCCTCCGCATGGCAAATGGAGCGACAGCACCATCTCGTGGCCGGAGTTGAGCACAGCCTCCAGATGCCGGAGATGTAAAAGATGGGGAAAGCCTTAACCTCTGTTTACGTATTGTCCGTCTTCGTTAATTGTATAACGGCACTGAATGTTTGCCATATATGTATTCTGTAATCCAGTCTGAGTCCCATCGGAGAGATAGGGCAGAATGTGACTATTTATATTTATAATATATTTATATTATAACGATTATATAAATTATTATAATAATATAATAATATTAATTATAATAATATAATATAATAAGAATATTAATTACTAGCTGTCCCCTGCCACATGTTGCTTTGGCCCAGTCTGTGTAGATGTGTTTTGAGTGTATATATATATTTGCGTGTATGTGTCTATATGTGTGTTTGTGTATATATATGTGGTTTTAAGCATGTGCTGTAATGTATTTTTTGGTTTTTGGCTTTTTAAGTCTCTTCTGCTGTGTTTTTCACTGTTTTTATGAGTGATGGTCACTCGTTGGCCTGAGAGGTGTATTGTGTCCAAATTTGGTGTCAATTCATCCAGTGGTTTTTGAGTTATGTTAATCCCACAAATGAACGTTTCATTTTATTTATATAGATAATCATAATATAAATCACATATAATAGTAATATAATAATATGAATTATGATAATATAAGAATATTAATTATAATCATAATATAAATCATATTTATAATTAAATTATATTATGAATTATATTTATATTATTATTAACACCTGTTTCAAAATCCCTAGGTCTTCCAATATGATTTTATGGTCAGCTTCCAACGTAAGTTGACCATAAAGTCATCCTGAAAGACCTAGAAATTCCTTATTGTTAAATTGTTAAAAAATAGCAGTTTATTTATGGGCAAACTTCAGCCCTTCCAGTGTTTTGGACTCCAACTCCCACAATTCTCCCAGCTGTTAGGAATTGTGGGAGTTGCAGTCCAAAACACCTAGAGGGTCAAAGTTTGCCCAACTGGGACTGAAGGGAGTTGGCAGTCCCAAAGAGCTGGAGGCACTGCGCTCAAAAGTCCAACCCTGATGGCTCTCCCACTGGGTTTCCAAGAGGAGTGCCACCGACCAGTGGTGCCACATTCCCTCCTCCTCTCTTCCACGCAGCCAAAGAGCAGGTGATAACACTGTGTTGTGGCTTCTCCCAGCGGGGCTGGCATATGCACCTGATCCCTCCTTCCTTGGAGATCCCTGAGCTTCCCCCTAGGCCCAAATGGGCAGGAAAGAGAGGGGCAAAACAGCCGTCTTTGGATGCATCCAATGAATACAATGTGGCACCACTTGAATAGAAATGGCTCAGAACTAAGGAATCCTAGAAGTTGCAATTGGGTGATGAACCAAGGCTAAAGAACTCCAGGATTCTATAGCATTGAGCCATGGCAATCTATGTGCTGTCAAACTGCATTCATTCTACTGTACAATGGAGATGCAATAACTAGCACTTTTCGCGACAAAAGCTTCTTCTCAGTCGACTCGGCTGACAGATCGCCTTCTCCTAAACCTTAGGGTGGGATTTAGAGGGGATCCCATCTCCCACAAGGACACAGGCACCCCGGGATCGGGATCTACTCACTCCATTTTGCTGTTTTGGGTGTGCAGGGCGCACGACACGCTGTTTCGCTTCGGAATCGGCGCAGCTCTACAAAGGGGCCATCTCTCCGCTCTCAGCCCAAGGCCTCGCTCTTTTCCAGCTGGTCTCCTTTGCACCTGAGTCGAGAAGAGAATGAATCACCGGGGGAGGAGCTGCCCTATAAACGGGGGCCCTTCCCCAGGCAGGCTTCTCAGGGATCCATCCGCCAGTCCTTGCTCCGCCTGCTGCTTCTGGTCAGCTTTACGCACGCGTCAAAGGAAAAGGAAGTTTGTTCACTTTCTGGCATTCTTTCTCTGGGTAGGAAGAAGGGCAAAGTTAGGCAGGAATTGACAAATTAAAGTACTGGGACTCAAACTCTGAATATAGAGGACAGAGGAGCTGAACTGCCACAGGACAGGAACACCCTGAAGGCACACAACAACAAAAAGCAGAACCAAATGTTGCTGATTCTTCAGGAGGACATGTTACTCTCTAGTGGGCTTTACCTGTCTCCATCTGGTGTTGAAGTCAAATCCCTGCCTAACAGCAGCTAAAGAATGCACAAGGTAATAATAATAATAATAATTCATTGGACTTGTGCCACAAATACCATCTGACTGCAACAAAGAACTGGTGGAGTCACGAGCCAGAAAAAGTTACAGAGAATGAACATGTCAAACTACTCTGGGACTTCTGGATTCAGACAGAGTTCTGGAGCACAACACTTGTGACCTCACAATCGTGTTAAAAAACAAAGTATGGATCCTCGAGGTCGCAATCCCAGGTGACAGCAGGATTGCAGAGAAACAACAGGAAAAGCTGACACAATATGAGGATTTAAAGATCAAACTGCACAATCCAGTCAAGGTGGTCCCAGTGGTGATCGGCACACTGGGTGCAGTGCCTAAAGACCTTGGCCTGCACTTAAACACAATCGGCACTGACAAAATTACCATTTGCCAGCTGCAGAAGGCCACCTTACTGGGATCTGCATGCATTATTCGCTGATACATCATACAGTCCTAGACACTTGGGAAATATACAACGTGTGATCCAATTCAACAGCCAGCAGAGTGTCTGCTGTGGACTCATCTTGTGTTTCTCATAATAATAATAATAATAATAATAATAATAATAATAATAATAATAATAATAAATTTATTTCATTTACCACTAGCCATCCCCTGCCACATATTGCTGTGAGCCCAATCTGGTGATCTGGAAAATAAAATAATGAGAAAGGGTTGGTTTCTAATATATGCAATGTCTTTATGTTTCTGGGTAAACAGTATTTCTCACTGTTTCTTTGTCAGTGTTGATGTGGTAATTGTCTGGTTTGCCCACTCTGGAACAAGCACCATATCATTGTCCCTCTTTAGGGGTCATGAAACCCTTCCAGTACTTTTGGTTGGTCATGGAAGTTCTGTGTGCCAGGTTTGGTTAAATTCCATCACTGGTGGAATTCAGAATGCTCTTTGATTGTAGGTGAACTATAAATCCCAGCAACTGCAACTCCCAAATAACAAATTCAACCACCCATCCACCTACCCCACTCCACCCATAACAATAATAATACACAATATGAGGATTGAAAGCTTACATTATATGAGGATTTAAAGATCAAACTGCAAACACACTGGCACAAGCCAGAAAAGGTGGTCCCAGTGGTGATTGGCACACTGGGTGCAGTGCCAAAAAACCTTGGCCTGCACTTAAAAGCAATTGGCACTGACAAAATTACCATCAGTCAACTGCAAAAGGCCACCCTACTAGGACCTGGATGCCTTATTCGCCGATACATCACACAGTCCTAGACACTTGGGAAGTGCCCAACATGCAGTGCAATGCCTAAAGACCTTGGCCTGCACTTAAAAACAATCGGTGCTGACAAAATGATCACCTGTCAGCTGAAAAAGGCCACCTACTCGGATCTGCATGCATTATTCGCCGACACATCACACAGTCCTAGACACTTGGGAAGTGTCTGACGTGCAGCACAGTGCCTAAAGACCTTGGCCGAAATCCAGTCACTGACCAACACAGTCAGAATCTTCAGCACTGACATCAGTGTGGAGTTCAGCCTAGACAAATGCACCACAATGGCATGAAAGAAAGGGAAAATTACTCACAGTGAGGGCATAGAGATGCCAAGTGGTCAAACCATAAAGTGCCATCAGCCTGAGGCCTATAAATATCTGAGCATACTATTATTTATTATTATTTATTTACAACATTTATAGCCCGCCTTTCTCAACCATACGGCAACTCAAGGCAGGTTACAGATTGGCACAATTTGATGCCATGCATTCATAAAAGTGCAATTAAAAACAGTCAACATAACAATATAAAAACATATATAAAACCATTAAAACATGTAGTCACAATGTCATCTTGTTAAAATCGTTTTCCAGTAACATCATCTGGTCATTCCATATTCAACATTCATAGTTTCATGTTATCTATTCCGCCTCATTCTCAAAAGCTTGCTCAAAGAGCCAAGTTTTTACCTTTTTTCGGAAAGTCAGGAGGGAAGAGGACAATCTAATATCCCTGGGGAGGGTGTTCCATAGCCAGGGGGGCCACCACTGAGAAGACCCTGTCCCTCATCCCTGCCTATCGTGCTTGCGATGCAAGTGGGATTGAGAGCAGGGCCTCCTCATATGATCTTAAGCTCCTAGATGGTTCATAATGAGAGATAAGTTCAGACAGGTAAGCTGGGCCAGAACCATTCAGGGCTTTATAGGCTAAAGCCAGCACTTTGAATTGTGCCCGGTAGCAAATTGGCAGCAAGTTGAGCTGGAACAACAGAGGAGTAATGCGCTCCCTGAGCGTCACTCCCGTTAGCAGCCTGGCTGCTGCCCGTTGGGCCATTTGAAGCTTCCAAACAGTCTTCAAAGCTGGATAGTATCAAGCATGGGCATGTGAAAAATGTAGTCAGCAAAGAATATGTCCAAAGGGTCAGAAAAATTATGAAGAGCGAATTAAGTCAGTTGCAAAAGGCCACCCTACTCGGATCTGCACGCATTATTCGCTGATACATAGTCCTGAACACTTGGAAAGACAGGATAAAAATGAGCAGGCTGCGTGTGTGTGCGCGCATGTTCATATGTGTATGAACACACATACATCCTACAGCTGTCCTATCCTACATTAGTTAACTTTTTTTTTGTAGATTTATGTTGTAGATTTGACTTTTTTTGTAGATTTGATGTGGGAAAACTGGTATTTTTTCCCCAATGGATGTGCTAGGGACTGACAGCATATTCATGCCTGATGGTTACGTTTCCTCCCTCCCTTATATCTATCTTTTGCTTCTTTTCTTTTTCTTCTTCCCTTCCTTTCTTCCTTTAATTCATTCTTTCTTACATATTTGTGCCTGCTGGTTACATTTCTTCCCTCCCTCCCTCTCCTCTTTTCTTTCCTTCTTTTCTTCTTTACTTCTCTTTCATTCATTCATTCATTCTTTCTTTCATATTTGTGCCTACTGGTTACATTTCCTCCCTCCCTCCCTCCCTTCCTTCCCTCTTTTCTTTCCTTCTTTTCTTCTTCCCTTCCTTTTCTTTTTCATTCATTCATTTGTTCATTCATATATGTGCCTGCTAGTTACATTTCCAAGTGGTTAAACCACTGAGCTGCTGAACTTGTTGACCAAAAGGTCGCCAGTTCGAATCCGGAGAGCAGGGTGAGCTCCCACTGTTAGCTCTAGCTTCTGCCAACCTAGCAGTTTGAAAACATGCAAATATGAGTAGAGCAATAGGTACTGCTCTGGCGGGAAGGTAACAGTGCTCCATGCAGTCATGCCGGAGGTGTCTATGGACAACACCGGCTCTTCGGCTTCAAAATGGAGATGAGCACAACCCCCAGAGTCGGAAACGATTGGACTTAATGTCAGGGGAAAACCTTTACCTATTATATAATCCCATTATGATTCATAACAGTAGCAACATTCCAATTATGAAGTGGCACAAAAATAATTTTATATAATAATAAAATAAAATAATAAAATAATTTTATATAATGTCAGAGGGAAACCTGTACCTTTTACCTTCGTTACATTTCCTTCTCCCTCCCTCCCTTCTATCAGTCTTTTACTTTTCTTTCTTTCTTTTCTCCAAGTAGGAGTTATACAGACTATAACTTTGAGTGGAGCAGGATGAGCTAATATTTATTTCAGCCATTGTTACAGTGAGCATGAGATCAGAGGCCAGTCTTGTAATGTTTACTCCCGCCTACTTTGCTCAGGAAAAGGGATGATCCTTCAGAACTATTTTACCAGCGCAAAGAGCAAAAGACTTGCAGCCGAGGCAGCAGCAGTACGGCTCGATTGCACCAGAGTTGCATCAGCTGTGGGTGTCCCAGTGCACAGAGGGCAAATGCTCAAGACTCCACTGCTTCCCATTGGCTACAGGAGAATAGATGCAACTCCAAGATTGGCTCCAGGACATGCCCATCTCAAGCAAAGCCGGCACTGCACACTCTCCTCCTACAACTGCTAGCTATTTTTCCAAGCCCTGTGGACTCCTTTTCTTAGTAACCCTTTCCTCAATTCAAAAGTAACCAAACATTTGTATTACAGTGGAATCCAATCAGGCTAGCTCCAAACCAGAATGACAAACTATATAAAAATTCCAGAAGTATGACACTGAAAAGTTATTTTCAAAGAGAAATACTTTAATGTATTGTCGAAGGCTTTCATGACCCAGAAAAACCTACAACAACCCAGAAATACTTTAAGCTTATTGTGTTGTGGGGAGGCATGTCAGTTCAGGTTTGGCACATAATGGCCCTCTTGGCAGCAAAGTGCAAATAGGCTGTGGTGACCAAATTTCCAAGCATAATGCCCCTCTCAGGCAAATACAACACAACACAAGGAAGCTTAACGTTGTGTTGTCGAAGGCTTTCATGGCCAGAATCTCTGGGTTGCTGTGAGTTTTCCAGGCTGTGTGGCCATGTTCCAGAAGCATTTTCTCCTGACGTTTCGCCTGCTTCTATGGCAGGCATCCTCAGAGGTTGTGAGCTCTGTTGGAAACTAGGCAAGTTGAGTTTATATGTCTGTGGAGTGTCCAGGGTGGGAGAAAGAAGTCTTGTCTGTTTGAGGCAAGTGCAATTGATCAATCACCTTGAATATCACTGAATAGCCTTGCAGCTTCAAGGCTTGGCTCCTTCCTGCCTGGGGAAATCCTTTGTAGGGAGGTGATTAGCTGGCCCTGATGTATTCCTTTCTGAA